GAGTATGAACTATTGTAATGTATTTTAATTGTTGTTTTTTTTTTATTTGAAAAAAAGGCATGTAATATTTTGTATCTGTTTTTGTCTTGCAAATAAAATGTATTTTCCAAAAAAAAAAATCATTGAAACGTAAAAACAGCAATGCATTGTTTTGCAAGGAAAAAACTTGTACAATTTTGTAAACATGATTTTTATATTATATTGTAAATATATTATATTATAATAAATATTAATGATGTAATATTTTTGAATAACGTCGTAATCATAGTAATAATGGTTACTAAATTTATTAAATGCACTAAAGTTTATAATTGATTATTATTATACGTTTAGTGTAAATGATGTTTGAAATTGTTAACTGGACAGTTTGCAAACTCTCTAAAATTATTCAGCAACTATTTGATATCTTTATTAACTATGTGCAATTTGGTTCATCATTATTTAAATGTACCAAAATTAATTTGTCTTTAATATACTATATTATTCTTCGTATAAAAGTATTAACTATCATGATATTTTTAATTAATTGTTTAACTTAAACTATATATCTATTTGTAACTTAAAGTTATTTGAATTTGCTTTATACAACATAAGAGAGCATTTATACAATATATTCAACATAATATACTTAATTGTATTTACAAATTTAACCAATAATTTCTGCTGAACAATTTTAGTATGCTAATGCACAATTTTTTTTTATGTATGGTTAGATATATTTAACTAAATTGTATTTATTAACTTGAGGGATCAGGAATATTTTGAGGTTACATATATGGCCTTTTAAATTATAATATACGTGTATTTTAAGAAGATTAAATATGTAGTATTTAAGTAGCATGAGTTATTGTGAGCATTATCATATTTATATATGTAGTCAAGTAATTATAATTTATAACATAGCCTACTAATAATTCAAGTAGATTATGAGATGACGATTATTATAATGATTATTAATGTAATTGCAAAAATTATATGTAGCATTACATGTTTTTCCGGGTTGCTTGTGAACTATAATAACATATTACCAAATAAGACAATTATTGACAAAAATTGTTAAAGACTTTCTGAAACACTAGGGAAAAATAATTAACTCGCTGAAACTGTAAGGCTGAAAAAATAACAAAACAATTTGAAACAAACAATGAAATGTGTTTTTATTTTAAATCAATTGCATCCTTTCCTTTAATCATGTGTCGGAGAAACCAAAAAAATTTGGAATTTTTAAAACCATTTCAATGTTTACACTTGACAATCTTCAATAGTGTTGATAATATATTGTTGTTTTTATCTAGGAGCTTTATTACTTTTATTTATTACTAATTCGAGTTTGTGGTTAAATCTTTAATAAACTGTTTTATATTTTTAATATTATGTTGACTTGCTAAAAATTTTAAAATGTTTATAAACTACACCATAAAATGTAAAAATTTGAACACTATTATTGATATTGATTATCTATATTTAGTAAGGATAATTTATCGATAATCTTAGCATATTGTTATCGGATTTCCTTAATCTTATAAAATTAAAAAAACATTGCTGTTTCAGCCATATACATCATGTGTGTTGTGTCATGTACAGAAGGGTAGTAGAAACATAATTTTTGAAGCAAAGGCTTTAATTACTTACATTATTTTGGTTGTACACCTATGTTTCTTAGTTCCTTTACTTAAATGAAATAAATTATTTCAAACAATGAATTAAAAAAGTTGGTTTTGTACAATGTACTCATTGTGTACGAGTTACAATTTTTGTAAAAAAAAATTGAATTGAATTCTTACTAATAAGTTAAAATGTGTACTATTATAGTACAGTTTAGTTACTCTTCAGTTAATTTATTTTGTTGTCACGTTAACGTTATTCCCAATATCAATAAGATAGATTTTAAATATATTTTGATCAAAAAAAAAAAAATGATTAATATTTATAGGTAACTTAAATAATATTACGCTTATGCACCATTGAGTACTAAATTTTAGATTTTAAAAGAGATGAAAACAACTTCTACAGATTCAACTTAATAAAATCAACAATTTTACTACCAGATTGTATGTACTCGGTTCAATGTTGGTGTTGTCATCCTTAAAAAATTTACCTAAATAATAAAGAACTTCTATTAGAATACACAATATACAATATGATCGTCATTAAATGTGTTCTCCTTTTTATAAGAATATATTATCAGATCTACTTATTGTGTTTTAGCATGGGTTTTAAACTTGTAAATATTCAGTTAAGAAAATTAATGTAAGTAATTGATTTCTAACTAAGTTAGGTTATATTTGATTTTAAATTTAACTCAACACAAGTTTAAAATATTAGTTAACTTAGTACTTTTGCCGGCTTTATAAACTTGCAGTCTGTAAATATAATAAATAGGTAATTTTTATTAAATTTGAATGTATTTATGGGCTGTGACTTTAATTTTTTGAGTAAAAAATATTTACAACTACTACATAATTTAATAATCTATAATATACTGTAGGTAGGTACCTAGGCATTATATTTTGCGATCTGAGATAGACGATAGTACGTGTAATTATTTAACCACCCTTGGCTAACCTATGTTTAAAACGTTTAAATAGTTGCTTAGCTGATGAGTTAGTGTAAGTAGATATTAAGAGATATTATATCTTAATGTTGTAATAATATTTGACGTGTTCAAAATCATACTATATTTATTGCAAACGTATTTATTTTTGTCTATATTTTTTATAATCTGTGATGATTAGTAGGAATTTCATCACGTTTAGGTATCCTACGATTTTTAAAAACAAGTGTGAACTCGCAGTTGCATCACAACTTGCTATATCGAGTCGGATATATAGCATTATAGCCAGATGGGTATGTAAAAAACAAAAATAACAACTTTATAAATAGCTAAAATGCGTTTGAATTATTAATTATTATATTCCGATCGATTATTATTAGACTGTTATTTTATCCGGTGGAAAATTGCAAAATTTAATAAATAAAACAATACCTACCTCCCAATTAAATTGTTTAATAGGTTATAGGTAGGTGTAGATTGTAGAATGTAGATGTACCTATTATTAATTATTATTATTGCAGATTATTGACGACGTAAAAAATTACTGTGCAACATATCAATTAGGCACCCATTAAATAATATTATTTATCGTCAATGGGGGTCATATTATGTGGTAATGTGGAATTGGTAACTATATATTTTATTATAAAATAAATAATAATTTTTTTAGGACGGAGACAGAAATCCACAGGTATGTATAGTAGCAGCACGGTCGCCCAGTTGATTTTCAATTGAGGGGAATATAAAAAGTTGACCGCTTGGTCGTAGCCTTGAAAACAGATCTTTATGTAACTTTAGGTACAAGAAAATGAGCATTGTTAGTTTGTGGTGGACATTCAGCACCGAATCATAGTGTACCTATGATAAATTATTATTGTGTTCTACCACATTTTTACAGAACCTACCTACCTACACAAATTCCCAATTTTCAAAGCTTGGCAGAGGGCACTAACTAATTGGAAAGTTACTTTTTGAGTAAAAACTGAACATTGTCGACTGGATAATAATTAATAGGTATTTATTTGTTATACTTAAAGTATTTTGTGTTAGGTGATGGATATGAATCGCGGACAATTCGCCCCCGCCAATTCGTCCCCGTCAAAAAAACAAGTCCACGGACGTTTCGTCTCCGTCTATTATTAAGATAGGACATTTGGCCCCCGGCAGTTATGTAGATTTTTTTATATCTACCCATAGGACGTTTGCCCCCCGGTTAGGTTAGGTTAGGAATGAGGCATTATTTTTTGGAACGGTATGTGACAGGAATATGTAATCATATCATATTTATAATTTATGTTTACTTAATAAAATTATACCCAAATTATTATTATTATCATTATCATTATAATTGTTGTTTGCGTTTTAAAAATAATTTAAATTTTAAGTTAAAAAAAAAAATGATTTAAATTTACCTAGTGATTTAAAATTCCAGAGGCCAAACGTCCTATAGGTAGATATAAATAAATCTATATAACTGCCGGGGGCCAAATGTCCTATCTTAATAATAGACGGAGACGAAACGTCCGTGTACTTGTTTTTTTGACGGGGGCGAATCGTCCTTTTACCGATGGATATTTAACAAACCATGACTATAGAGTAAAGATGTAATCATTTAAACTGTACAAATTAACTTATAACTATTATAACTTATATTCTAATTTCAATACCTAATTGAGTTATTATTATAACCGACCAACTTTTAACTAGGTAAGTTAGAAACTTGGGAAATTTTAGAAACTAACTTATATTTTAAATTATAAAATTATTTTTTAATTATTGCTTAATAATTTGACTTAGAAAGTGTTGTTTTCAACCATCATTAAATTATTACCTATTGTGTTTTTACTTTTACTTTTTAGTTTTAAGTTATCTTTATATTTTATTGACCACAAGTCATCAACGTTATCAGTTATCAGTTATCACTAACATGTTGTAGGGACTATAGATCGTCATAATTGTATAACCATTAAATTCCGACAAAGAACTGATTTTCATTTTGTTCTGACTTAAATAACACACCTGTATGACCATCATTTGTACCTGTACTCTTTAAAAATACATTTATGGAAAATAGTCATCATCAAAATTAATGGATTTTAGAATTATTTTTAATGAAGTATCAATACCCACGCGATACCTACTTTTTTGTAAGTACAGCTAGTATAGGTATCTTGAATCGGGAATCCCCCCCCCCCCATCGGGCCATCTCTTGATATAAATAATGTAAAATAATTACCTAAAGTAAACCTCGATTATGAAGTACCTAGGACGCAATCGTAGGTAATTTATTCTCATTGCGTATATAATATCATTCTAATACAATATAATATTATACTCAATAGTCAATGGTAATAGCCAATAGGTATGACTGTCTGAGTAGGTAGCTTATTACTACCTATCACTTTTCTCATTGAAAATTGTTTGATTAATAACTTGAAAACGTGAATGATATGATATAAGATTGTTTATAAAATTTAAAAATAAAAATAAATCCATTGCAGTTAGATAACGATACATTCAAATGGGACTTCCTGCTTTGTAGTCGTATTCTGACCGTAACATTCTGAAATCATAATACAAATTTGCATGTTTATAATATAAATAATTATTACTATTAACATATTCAAGCTCAATAAACAAATATTCAAATATATAAGTGTTATTATTGTTTCACTTGTAGGATGCTGCAGAGGCGCCAATAGTCTCTCAAGTCCCCTCATATTGGAATTAAAAAGGTTTTTTGGCAAATATTTAGTATGTGATTAGTACGTTTTTGCATACATTTTATTTAGGCGTTACGTAAACTATTAGGCGAGGGGCTGTAAGCACATGTCTCCAACCCTCCCATACATATCAAAATTAATACTTATTTTCAATGTTCTTCTGAAGCCATATTTAGCATGTAGCTATATAATATACTTATGTGCACCAAATAATAAATTATTCAAATTTGCAATTGTTTTGTTTTTTTAAATATTTTGAAGTTGAAAAATCAAGTGCTGATTTAAAATAAAATAAATTTGTTTTTCACTTTTCTATGTTATATTTTATCGTTGTTTTTACATTTCACATTTGAAGTTATTTTCAAAAAAGTTTGATCATTTTATAAAGTCATATTTTGACAAAATGCATAATGCCATATTATTTCAATCCTTATAGGTATCAGTGGTGGGCAACTGGCGGCCAGCGAGCCTTTTTTATCTGACCCGAGCTACATTTTCAAATTACATCACACAATTTCAAAGTTTATGATCTATACTCTATAATCTATTTAACACCAATTAAAATGTACTAAAAGTTGGCCATTTAGTAATTTGAGTTGCCCTCCCAGCTCTATTTAAAAGCAATGATAGATAAGTACCTACATGACATATTTATACATTATTGTAATCATTTGTATAAACGAGTATATGATGATACCACATCATCAATATAATAATTATTACTTATTTCGCATCTTGTGCCGTAATATCCAGTCCCCGCGCATCTACATTTATATCCTGGTTCTTGCGAAGTTTGAACGCACACTCCGTTATGATTACACGGACCTTGTGCACAGAAATCGAATCGGCGACCTGTATAAATATGAGAAAATGTCGTTATGAGACGGATAAACCGATTAGACTATTGACTTTGATTTGGTAAGAGAAAATTATGTAAAAAAAAAATATCTGCAAATATTTAACATACGTTAGTATAGTTTTTTTAAACAAAGAGCGTCTTCTGGATCACCCGGCATAGGTGTATTGTTATTTATCAATTTATCATATTATAATGTTGCGATGCTCGAATATTAAAATTTATACAACCTTTTAGCGCTTTATAGCATTCCTCGTAGTTGCTGTATCTGTACTCGGAATAACAGCCCTTGCCGCAGAGACATTGGCCTTCCTGTATTCGACAACCCTGTCTACTCTGATCGCAACCTTCGAACACGGGTATGACTGAAATCAAAAACATTTTGTATAAATTATCTACCTACCTGCATATGACTCAGCGACGCAATTATAAAGTGCCATTTTGTAGGGTGTGGTAACAACTAACAGTTACTTACTAAATAACTTGTAACTTTACTACATTTAAAAAACCTACTTCGTCAACTTGCCTTTACTAGTTGTATACAACTATAGCCCCGGTCTCCCCTATATACACTCAGCGTATGAAGAAGTACTTATATATATTATTTTACAGATCTGTATTAAATGTTGTTATACTATACAGTGATCATCTGCAGTGATCAATCAATTGTGAATAATATTTAATATAATAATATTATAATAATATATTATTACATATAATAGCTAATTGTGCACAATATTTCCTGACTTCCTGTAAATAATCAAAAAAGTAGGTAGGTACCTAATTGAGAAGTTTCAATGAAATATTTAAAAATCATATACATATTAATTAGGAACTCAAATACATTTCCCGTAGATAGTGCCTTGTGTCTGTGGTTAACGGTTAAGTTACTGGTTAGGTGTATGATGTCTATGTATATTTACTAAAGTGGAGTGAAGATTTCAAGGTGTTGATCGCCGCAGAAGGTATTTACTAAAATGTCAAGAATAAGAGGGTGCCGTCAACCCCACGCGGGACGGGACAGAAAAATAGCAGATGCATATGTACATGTTCCATAATGTTTCTGAAAACCATATTTGAACGAATACACCATAGCTGCAGACATTCTACACGTGTCATCTACATAATGTTATATTATTATTATTATTATTATTATTATTATTTATCCCCGAGCAGCTGTTTTGGGTGTTTTATTTCTCCCACATCGTAGTTGCCACGACTTTGTCGTAAATCAGATCGACGACTGTACTGCGCATGCGATGCGTGACGATGTGAAGACAGTTTGCGAATTTCTAATTATTTAATGTTATGTATATATGCCGTTAATTGGCGTAATATTTAACCAATGTTACAGGCAGTGTCAGATTTAAGTCTCCCGGGGCTTGGGGTAGGTACTTCGAGGGAAGTGATGGTCGCGCTGTACCCTTCCACATGTTGCGTGTGCAGTAAACATTTGGTGCCCTCTATACACGCTATGAAAAAAAAAATTGCTCACTTTATTATATTGCCATATACACACACATGACTATATGTAGAACCCCTCTCCCTTCCCCTTGTCACGGCCACATCTCCGGTAAATCCGGAACTGGCATTTTTTTCCTACTACCAAAATTCACCTGCAGAGAATCGTTTTAATATCGATTTGACTTAATACACAAAGAATAAATCGATAAATGAAAAACGATATAAGTATTTATTATAGGCACCCATAATTCGTTGATAGTTTCCTCAGATATTGAGACTAACCAATGTGTGAGTGTGTGGCTGCGTGGAAGCCAGGTCAGGTTAGATAGAATTTATGAGCATTAATATTCTTTAGAACGCTTAAGACTCGCGTGATGTGTTTTCATTTAAATAATTTCATAACATTCTATGATGTATATTATTTTTTTTACCTAGCCGATCTTTCTCTCTCGAGTCAGAGCAATAAAATTTAATTATTTCAGTATAATACTATACAATAATATTATGACGTTTGTTTATAATGTTACAGTGCACGAAATAACGGCGTGAAATATATTTAATATATTTAACAAACATAACAGAACCATAATATCATCACTTAGAAGTAGAACATCACAAACTATGTAGGTACCTCTACCTATCTAGCTATCTAATCAAATTTTAAGTAATAATTAAATATTGTGTTTACTATAGAAAATACCTACTAACGGACCAATATTATTAATTAAAATGTATTCCTTTACGAGTATATATTATATATTCGAATGCAGATTACGAAAATTGTTCATTTCAATATTATTTCTATTAATATACTTATTTACTCCAATATCAATGAAATGTAAGAGTTATAAAATATATCATTTGGATATTTATTATGTGCGTATTTACGTGCAAGCACGTCATAACATATACTAAAATAGTATAGGTACCTACCTACTAGGTATATAATGTCAGGTCGCACAAAATATAATAGGTTATAGGTACAAATTATTTCAAAATTGATATTTTAATAATTTATTATACTTAAACAAATATAAATAACAACTACAATGTAATACAATAGTAAAAAATAATACCTAATTAATATGAAGTTCTTTCAACTTTCAAGTAACAAACACACAAACTAGGTGATTATGTTTTAAACAACATTCAGTGAATAATAATAAATAGGTATATTAAATCATTAAACGTTTAATCAATTTAGAAAAATCAAAATGTTATAAAAAAACTTACGTTTGTTAAAAAATCAACTGCACTACAAATTACAATATATTAATAGAATACAATAATGAACATTTTTTTATTGAAAATAGCTAGGTACCTATGTTAATAATGAAACATAGTGAAAGACTCAAAACTAGTTAGGTTAGAACAGAAAAAATGATATTTATGACGTTGCATAGAAAAGCACTGCGTTATCGAAAAGTTTTGTTACAGACTAGAAAATGTATAAGTCATAATAATTAATAAGTGAAAATTGGCTTTTTACTACGTAGATCTTTAAAAATAAAGAAATTACCAGTGTTAAATAAAAGAGTATAAAACAAACAAGTATATAAATAAAAAATAAACGTAATCACTTAGAAAGTTTGAGAAATTGTTTAAGATATTAAATAGACGGACATGAAAATATCCGAAAATTGAGAAAGACACCTTAGCTTTTTATTTCTAAAAAAAAAAATATCCAAAAAAACAACAATATGCATTTTAAATTTTCGTTTTCCTCGGTCTTCTATAAATATAGGTCATATAGAAAAATATGCAATTCCTACAACTTTCGATTCATATATAACTATATTTATTAGGTACCTATATATTCATTATGCATGAGTGCATGACGGTAATAATATAATATAATTAATATACTATTCAACAGTGGGCCGATACTATCAGCTCAACAATATTACAATTTTCAGTAAACAAGGTAAAGTTAAGTCCAGGACATCGCAGTATCACAATAATAGGTTTGTCGACTACGTCACTCACATATAATTTATTACAATTATTATTGTACAAGAGGTAGGTAGTGATTTTAAATACTAAATGCCGGCTAATAGATATACTGAGTATAGTTTTATAAGGGTTAACAAACATATACTGATTACTTTAATCGAGCAATCATTAAAATACAAATAAAAACAATTACCTAAATAATAGTAATAATCTGTATACCACAACAAAGATGGGTCTCTCGACGACTTGAATAAGGTGCCCAATCACAGGAGCAACTAGGTGCAAATTATTTTTGGGTAGGGCTGTACATTATATAGCCCTCATATTTTTCTTTATTAATCCGAGTGAACATTTCCCCTACACCTATTTACTAGGTTTCTATATTTGTAAGTAGCATATATAATAGGCAATAGCTCTATCCATAATATTTATTAACTTAATCGGCAAATTTAAATTGTATTTCCAATATTTTGTCATTCTTTATTACATTTACCTACAAATCTACAGCATATTTTATCTTTCGAGATTATTATAAATAGATAATAGCCAAATTTGAGAAAACAATCGTGCAGCATACTATCGTTTTAAATCAACTTTTCGGGACTCGTTGTCCAGTTATATTTGTCAGGGCTATGCAAATATTGGTGGGGGGGGGGCTTATAGCCACCCCAAGCCTCAACCTATGTATAGTTCCGCCCATATACAATATACATATTACCGATTAAGTATGGCGTGCGTGTGCGAGTTTGTGTATATATGAATATGACATGTACTTACTCGTGATGGTGATCAGTAATAGTGGCAGGATCATCGGCGTAGAGTAGTCCATGGTCGTCCGCTGTTAAATTATACTCTCGATGTTTCGTGTCTGAGGAGGCTCTCCTGGAGTCTTGGGCGACGACGACGACGACAACGACGACGGCGGCGGCGGCGGAGGCGAAGACTTAATATAAGACTCGCGATCAGCTGGCGTTAAGGATCAAATCGTGTATATAATATACGTCGGACAAATGTTGAACACATGTGTACAAACTGGAAATAGACGACGACGACGACGACCAGGACGAGATGCAACCATTTTATCGTCCCGGCACTATTGTAACGCACACGCACGCACGCCCACCCGGTGATCTCGGTACATTTTATAGCAATATAATATATACGTATGTATGTATAATCTGCAGCAGACCGTGATTTCTATTATATGTATTTTGTTTTTATCTCAATTTAACAACATAATCTTAAAACACATTATTGGCCCCGTGCAGCAGTGGTTTATCGTTTCAAGTTAAATTTACTTCCGGTGCTGTGTGCGATGTGTGTGTGTGTGTGTGTGTGTATATATAATAAATATACGAATATTTAATTACGTTATAGTATTATAATATGCATGCTGCTGTCATTGAACTCGGCCGTTGCTGCTCCAATATAAGTGAGTGTACACTGTACACCACGATGATGTGTCGATGGACTGTGGCGGTGGTGTGCTGTAAATGCACGTCATATATAATATACAGAGTTATTCGAGATGCGATTCGTACGATTACAAACGCTTCAATACATTATTAAATTTCAGGTTTAAAGTAACTATACAAAATTAAATGATTAAATATGAATAAAAGAATATTGAAGACATTTTTATATTTAAAATTTATATAATGGCGTAGGTGTACGCCTATATATGAACAAGTGAACAACGCATCTAGTAGTCGGCACACAAGTTTATTCCATGCAGACACATCCACGTATTGTAATTGACTCTGCTTAGGTTCTCTGTGGTTGATGATATGATGGTACGTGTACCCGGTATCTTAATAATATCCTCAAAAACAAGATAAGTATAAGCATCGTTTGAGATCAGTTGAGTTAGGAAGTCAGCTGCATCGGATAATGATTCATTTTGAATAACCCTGTATATAATCTGGTAGATATACAGAGCGATTGTTTTAACCACGGCTCCTGTGTATTTCGTAATTTTCTTTTTTTCAGAAAATTTAACGCCTAGGTACTGTGAATATCTGAAGTGTTGCCGTTTCCTTCACCCTCGTACCGTCTAACCGCACAGTCATCGGTCGGTGCAGAAACCACAGAAAATACATACTTACTACTCGTATATAGTGATTCATTACATGGACTATATTAAGATATTAACAAGAACGAATTTGAAAAAAAAACGTTTCAGATTCATCACCAAACGTTTTTGCTTGTGATCTAAGTTTATAGACGAGCGATGCCTAAACATACGGCACAATGTAAATTCCCAGAGGTTTTTCTCATCTCCATTTTACTTTTTGAGTGGCTCGTCTCACTTTTTAGTCTCAATTTAAAATTATTTTATCACCCAATCGAAAACGATATGATATTATGAGGTGAAGTTAAAAACATGCGATGTTGCCATCGCCATTTTAATGCAAAAATCGATTGTATAGTGGTTATCTCGACAAACATAATATATACTTACCTATCATAAAGGTTAAAGGTGAAAATGAGGACAGGTAGAATATTGAAAGTAAGAATGATTGCCAGTTATTTATATGTTTTTGGAAAAAAAAAACAGTAAATTTCAAAAACAGTTCGAGACTTCGAGTATTCAAATATTGGTACCTACATGTGTGCTGGTGCTCATCCTGTATAAAGTTACCATCTAGTTATACATTATATATAGTACATATTATATCACGTTTTACACGTGTATAATCAAATATCTATAGGTATTTATGTGAATAATGAATATATATATGTATTAACCTTCTACACTGTAATATATATATTTATACAATAGTGACAATACATAAGGGTGGCGTGGTCATACGCTGAATCTGCGGAAACTCTCTGAGCGCACTTACCAGCCTACGTTGCTAGTTCTCGCATGGTTGACCATCGGGATTTTTAGCAACAAAATATTGGGCCACACACACAGAAGTATGCCAACCAACCGTTTCCCCCACACAGTACCAGGCTAATGACCTTAGGAGGTGAAGCCTTAATTCTAGTAAAAAAAAATACGCAAGTATGGACTATGTGGCATTTTGTAGTTTATTGATTATTTTACTGTAACAAATACGTTAGTTGTATATAATTTATGCAGATTATTTGTGAACAACCCTTATTATGACTTAGATGCTTTAATTAAAGATTCAATTTGGACAACTGCAGTTTTAAAAAAGTAGTCAATTAGCTTTATAATATATTTTATACAGATATTCCGGTATTCATACATAGGTAATATAATAATTATCCATGTACAAAAATTACAGCCTGCCGCTATATGTATTGGGTAGTATAAATTCTCGTGATTATATTTTGAGTCCTGGTACCGAAAATTACAAAAATATTATATAGGTACATAAGAAATAATTTACAAAACGATGCTTCTATAGAAAATCATTATTAGATGGTACCTAAGTATTAAAATATTTTATGAGCAATATAAATATAAATATTTTTAATTTTTAAAAGTGATGTTCAATCTGTATCATTGACACATTAAAAATATATTCCAAGAATAAAAATGTATACAGTTTTAATGAAAGGAGCCATTCAGTGATAAATATTTATGTTATTTTTGTTATAACAATTATTATATTGTTGATAGTATTAGTATTAACTATTAGGTATAGGTTTTATAATCTTACTAACTATTGAGCTATATATTTAAATTTGTATAATTGAAACACGTGTGCAAACTATGCTGAAAAACTATATTTTAATAAGTTAAGTAATGAGCTCAAATCAGAATTTTCGTTATAAATTAACTCGTCGATTAAAATAACAACGTACTTTAACGTGATCAAAAATTATAATCAATTTTTTTAAATTTAGAGATCTAATCATAATATTAATTATACCTACCTATAAAATAAAGTATACATGTGTATAATATTATCATTTATATATTGTTTATAGTACGGTTTTTTGTGTGTTATACAAAATAGAACCATTTATAGTTGTTAATTTGTGGTTTACTGATAAATTAAGTGGTAAAAAAGAATATAGTTGTATGCCCAATGTTGGCCTCATAAACACTTGTGCGTCAAATAGTCTACAATATTAAAGTTAATAATCTAGTATTGATATAAACCATTTAGTTTTTGCCGAATAATTTTATAATTTTCTGTTCTCAAAATTGTGATAAACATAAATGCAATATTTATTAAAACTTTTGACTTCCAAATAAAATCACAAATCCTTTCCTATTGTTAATTATACAGTTATATTTATTACTAACTGCCTACCTACTATATAATATAAGTCTCATGTCGATCATTATTGTTATCTCTGCAGCAGTAAATCGTATACGCACTATAATAAACTGAATAACTTTGGCCTAGGTAAATGTTACAAGATATCCAGAAGAAATTCATCATTAGAAATAGTCAAAATCAGAACTTAACGTTTCACAATTTAAAGAGCCGAAATCGGCCCACTAGTTTAATGAACTGGTCACCTATATTTTATTAGCCCAATAAAACTATTGAACGTTTAAAGATTATTGTTTAACTAATGAATACAATTTTATTGTGATCATTCGTTGAAGGCTCCAACAGTTCGTTGAACGTTTAATAAACGTTCATGGTTCATGCAACCCCGTATTATGTTTTTATTTTATTATAAGATCACAATTTTTGAGTATATTATATTGTTGTTATTATATTTTATGAAACAAAAATATAAAACGACTATTCATAATCTTCCAACACCAATATTAATAATTTATTATTCTGATTTTAACGAAGCCATTCGTGGAAGAAAATCGAATGTCGTCGGATGTCCTAGTCCGAACTTATGTGTTTCGGATTTTCCTACAACGAATAGAATAATATAATAAAATAAATAATATACGTTGAGGCAACAACCCAAAGTATTCAAGCTCACCTGAATAAAATTTAAAAATGGCTAGAAAAATGAAAAATAATTTTAAGCCCTCAAAAAATCACAGCGGTCCTCTTCATCAACCGTCACCGCAAAACTCCGGGTAATTTAAGACTCCCCATATTCCTTCATCCTTGGTCACCTAACATCAAATATCTCTGTGTAATTTTAGAGAGAAAACTGACATGGAATCCACACATTATATTATTCAAAATTCCAAACTACACTATGGATACCAGATATTAAAAATACTATAGCCATTGATCAATCAACAAACATCATTAATCTGGACAATGGAAATGTTTTATCACACATTGTATTATCATCACTATTCACTTATCATAAAAATTATTGTTCAGCCAGAGTCTAAACGCACCTAAGAAAACTAAGAGAACTTAAGTTTTAAGACTTAAGCCCTTTATCGACGTTTAGATACTACATCAAATATTTTGAAATGACACCCCTGAAAAATATCACCCTAGGGTCTGTGTCACTTACCTCTTGAGTCGGACCTGTACAAATTTCTATATAATACATAGGTATATCGTATTGATGAGGTCAAGTCTTTTTTTAGCAAACAATTGTTTCATTCAATTATTAATCATTATAATATTATTATCTATATTATTATCTCCGCAGCGATCTCGTGAAATCACCACTAATTTACAACACTCTCGCAAGGCCCGCAATAGTTGCAAAACATAATATGCTATACAACTATATTAATTTATAGTTTATACATATTATTATCTAACCATAGTGATGTAAGCTTCACGGAAAAAGCGCTTTTTATTTTTTGTTACTGTATATAGGTATATCATATGAAAACGCATGTGGCCGATACGTGTATAATATTATTATAATATACAAAGTGATAATTATTTGAAAGGTACTCACTTGTTTTCTTAAAAATATTAAAATTATAATTACAATTATTTTTCCGTTATTATTTAAAGTTTTCAGTACATTTTTTTCTCATATTTAAATTTTAAAGTCATTAAAAACAAAATTTCGAAAAAAAATGATATTTTAAAATATTTTTAGCATTTAAGTTTTCCTCTTTTTTACAAATGACAGCGTAATTATTAATTGTACATGGAGCAGAATATTTTTCCGAGAATTTATTTTGAATGAGTAGTTATTGCCTATAGTTATAACTTATAACTTTATAGCTAGATATACATTCGTTTAGTGTTGATGGTGACGAGTGACGGTAATGACGGGGAAGGTTTTAACTTCTAGTACTATCCTCGCAGTAAATAAAGAAGAATAAACCAGAAACCTAAGTGAAATTTCGATTTTATTACCTACTTCATTATTAAAAATAATAATATGATGTAACCTCAATACAGTTTCTAAATCTAAAAGTAATCGAACTTGGAATATTATAGTGGTTAATACCTACATAATAATAGTTCTTAAATTATATATTTTTTAAAACCTATAGAGCAGTAGCTAGGTATAGCTTAACGATTTAAGAGTGCGTAGTAGACATGACATTAATATACTATCATAAACTTTAACGTAAATTGATATACAGTAGAAATCATCTATAATGACACCGGTTGAAGTGACATCGGATTTTATGACCTTAAAGTAAAGGACCCGAAAAGCATAGGTAAGTTTTATATGTTAAATTTTATCTGTAGTTATGACTATCGGCTATTTTAACTTATATTTTCCCCGGTCCTTTTACGAAACGTCATTGTAATTTATAAACGATTTCTACTGTACATATATATATATATGATAATTAGTTAATTAAACAAATAGTTGTGTGCAAGTTTCCTCACCACCTTAGCAAATAAGTTGATAACATTGCAAATGCTGAATGTCGTTTATAAGCATGAGGTATCACACACGGCGCATTTTTTTTATTGTGGTGTCCCCGTTAAGGCCTAATCCACACTTGCAAATAAAGCGTCAAAAAATTCACAATTTCACCAAGGAGTAATTTACTGCTCATGATCAATTATAGTCTTTCCATTATTTTTTTTTTTTTATCTAAATGCCAATATATAATACCATTGATTATACATACTATAGGTACAAGTATTTGTAATCAATGTCAATAGGTACCTATTGATAACAGATTGTGTATGTGATTTTACATCATCGGATTGCACATTATGGATTTCAATGATTGCACAGTTTCAGCTTTTGCGATAATGGTGAATTTGTGGATTTAAATTTAAATTGATGTTAATTATGTTAAATTGATTACCTAATGGATAATACCAAAAGACCTTAATTATTTGAATTATTAAACGCACACAAGGTGGTAATTGGTTATTTAAAACAATGTAATTAATACTGTTGAATTTTTCAGCCAATATTCGCTATAATTTTGCTACTGGAGTTTCTTTTCACAGTAATTAAATAAACTATTTAATAAGTTACACATGTCAATATTGAAGAACTACCCACTTTTATAACATTAAATATTTGACTAATGAAAAATGGATTATTTAATGCTAACATGGATATTGCTAAACAATTGAACAGTAATTAAAAAATGTATCAACCAATTCAATAATTCTAATGGCTAATACCAAACTAAAAGTAATTAAATTGACACTTTATTTGCACTTAAGTAATCATAGGCGTTACTGTGTGCACTGTGCACCGGAGGTTTTGAAGGCTGCTTACGGTAAACCAAAAACTACCTGTTAACCATCAAGAAGATTTAATTAAATATTTAAAAATTAAGTTTGTGATGTATACCTATAATAAAAATAGAAACATATAGACTACTAGTCTACTTAAAGATACAGTGGTTTTGAAAAAATGCACGCTTTTTGACGCACCTATCAGTAACGCCAATGAGTTATATTTATTTTAACCATAGGTGGTCTTAGGATTTGTTTTTGAAAGGAATTTAGTCTCGTACAAATTTTAAACATAATATAATGAGCCCTTGGACCTTCCACCAGTTACCTGGTTTCATTAGTCATTACTGTATTATTATACAATACAATTTAGTATTCACATTATGTGGTTGACTAATAAATTATTCAATTAAATGAGTATAAGATGCCCTTTATTGTACCTATCCTTAATCCACCTATTATTATAACTAATTTTAACCATGTTAAGTATAGTTTTAAAGCGAGTAAAACAGGCCTAACGACAACTAGGTATAGCATATACGACCTGCAGCCACTTCTTATTAATGTTTGACCGAACATCACGTCCACATAGGTATAGTACTGTATTGGCTGTTTTAAGTTGAGAAGAAAAAAAATGAAATTTACTGACAACATTATAACTTTAAGCACTATACAAAATTTAAACTTAAAAAAATTAAAAAGTTATTAAAAACAATTCACTGTAAAAATATTATCACGATTGACTAATTCTATTCGATTGAACATTTTTACCAAGCGTTGGTATACAACCGTTGTCAACAAAACAATATATTCATCAGTTTATAATTATAATAATAATAATAATACTTATAGCCAGCACAGTATTAGTGTATTACACAAATGATTATTTAATTATTTTCTAGCCAAGTAGCTATTTTTATTTTTTATTATTATTATTTTTTTTAATAGCATTTTTGAATTTTGATATTTTATAATATCGATTTCATATACGCATAGACTATATTATACAGTATTGTTTAGAGAAAAATTAAATTCCACCAGCATTATATATTTTATCGTTATATATGTACCTATATACACATTATAATATTAATATATTATTTATTAGCTGCCCGACCTTCCTCCGGAAGAAATTATTTTTTTATAATTTAATTTAAAAACATAAGACTATTTTTTGGCTATACAAATAATACAACGATTATAAAATAAAAAAAATAAAAAGAACAAAAAAGAAACAGACATCGTTATCGGTGAATATATTATGAAAATAATTGGTAATTAGTTAGTTATTATTATTATTATTATAATGAGGGTTCAAACCCGGTTTCCTTCGTCTCCAAAATCAAGTTAGATTCTTATATATATAGATTATCATTCACACATTTTTCAAAACCCTCGAATTTTTTTCATCATTTTGTAGATACAAAAGGTATTCTGAATTTCATCTGCAGCTATTCAAAACAAATTACAAATTATTACAAATTCCGAGTGATTTATATCCTTGAAGTGTCAAAAAGATAATATTATTTTTCCTTGGATTTAAAACACACATTTTTAAACTTTAATTACTATTTACTTTTCTAAAAAAATTAGTTTTTAAATGAATCATCTAGCTGTTAAAGCACTACTCGTATATTGTACAATTATTATTATTGATTTCTGATTTATTTTTATCTTATTTGACACAAGATTAATAACAAAAACAATTATTTAATACTGAGTAGGTAGATGTACCTACTTATGTAATTTGCAACAATTCACATATTTACAAACTTCACACATAAACCATAACTCATAAGAACTTAAATAAGATTTATAATATTAGGTACCAAATACCAATGTGTCCGCTTTGACACTCTAGTCTCAATGTCTTTCTCTCTCAGCCCTCATGCCTCAGATTTCTCTGTTGTCTGTGTACCGAATGCAACTTTTAGTCAATTATATGAGTATTTATTGTTTTATGAATAACAGTGCCAAGCGCTAACGTGATCGGAAGTTATTCTTAATAATCCACCGCCGTTGTGAAGTGAGTTCAAGGTTACGTCTATGTTCATCGTAGGTACCCCACGGGATGTAAAATACTTGCCATACTTAATAGTTAATAGTATACTTATAATTTAAATGATATTTACTATATATGTATATAAACTTTGTGAATATTATTTTTTATGCATTTTAGGCTTTTGAATGATAATAAATAACAAAGTATTAATGATAAAATACGTATTTATTACATCTCACTGGATCCCTGTATATTGTTATACACTCAAAATCACAGTCACAAAAACATCGTTATTCTTTGAAATTTCACAAAATATTTCATTGAAACTGGGGCTTATTGATTTACAATGTATAAATTCAACAATTAACATGTTAGTTTTAATTCTTCTCTTTTATTTAACTATATTAATACTGATTTATAATTGTTTTAATTAGTTTGGTAGGCAATATGCATTCGAGTACTAACCAGTCATTTATTATTTAATTATCACTTATCTGTTTACTTTCCATTCCAACCGTCTACCCAACAGAATGTTAAACTAAACAAATATGTATAATCGTACCATTCTTATTAGTTGGGTATAAGTTAATTAGTGATCTATTATGATTATTCCGATTATAATTGCATACAGTTACAACTCATAACTCATAAGTATATTATTTAATAAATAATTTTGAATTTATAAACCCTTCTTAGATCATTCGAAAATAAAAGGAAGTGTAAAATATTAACTATTCTTTAATATATTGTTTTATATAGATTCTGAAAAATGTGGATCTATTCCGGAACTGAAACGTTAGAACGAAATTGTATATAATCTAAATAGGCACCTAAACATTTTTAAAAATATACTTATTCTTGAAGTTGTATTTAAAAAACCTTATGATTACTTCACTGTTTATGAATAATAAAAAAAATATAGAGATTTCAGTTAAAATGTTGATAATTAAACAATATTTTATGAGTAAATAATATTGTTATCGCGAAGAAACGTTATAGTAATATAAAAAGTTACGGAACTCAAAATGTATTTTCAAGATAAGGACAAGGTCATTTTAACATAATATAATATGATATAATATACATAGTTGTTATAATCTTATTTTATTGTAAATGCACATAAAATAATATTATAACATAAAAATTTTATTTTGAAATGATGATACACCAAATTATAATATACATTTCACAAAGTAGTAATACAATGTAAGTATCAACATTGATAATAAATACTAGTACTCACTATCAATGGTATTAAATTTAAACATTAACTATAAGTTAAAAAACAAAAAAGTTAATAATAACACTATTTTTAGCATCATATTAATACTTTTTTTTATACTGGACGGATATTAATTGTTTAAAGTTGTTTTTCTTCAATTAGTTAGCACAATCCAACAAGCTTAGGGTGTATATATTTGCATATAACGTTCCCCAAATTATTTTTTGCCTCGTCTTGTTCAATTTCGTTGTACACCTGAAATGGAAAACAGTTATAATACGGTTTACGGAGAAGGTTGCACGGTCGATGATCCATAATATTTTTTAATCGGTTGACTGTTGACGTGCGATTATTGTAATAGTACAGCGAAGCTCTTAAATATGTGTCATTCACTCACCCCGTTAATAACAATAGAAGGAATCCGAGCCGATCGTGGTAAAACAGTCCGTGTCCGATTGCTGAATTGAACCATTAATAAATCGCTGAATTCTCTGTTCATAAAACATTTCTTTATCTTGCCGTAATAGTCCTCGTACAAGCCCATATTTCTCGTACACTAGAATAAATACGAAATTAAAAAAAATTCACAATTTTAAATAATTGAGTCGTAAAAATGTTATTTGTGTTGTTGAAACTGATATTTTTCTTCTCTACAGCCTACGAATGACCTTTTCTGTTCCAACATATAATTTTATATAATAAAAATGCATCAGGTTATCTACCACGAAATATTAATTGAATTTAATGGTTTGAATACATATTAATTTCGTCTATACATGAAAATTGAAAATCTTTACTATATTTTACTATCTATCGATTTTCCAGTTATAGTCATGTCAAACTGTGAAGTGTCCGAGTGTGGAGTATGCTCAATAAACAATAATAATATTTTATTTTAACGTCATTGTATACCTAATAAGTCAACTGTTAAGTACGAATTGTAAATGAATAATTATTCCAAAAATCACAAGGTACTGCTAATCCAGGAAAAATATAAATTTCATCAAGCACGGTTTTTGCTGAACCCGATTCATCATTTTTCAGAGGCGTGATATAATATTGATCTTAAAAAGAAGAATTAAAATAATACCTACCTAAGTGTAATTTTAATTATTAGTCAAATATGTTTCGGATCAGATACATCTTTTACAACACCAAATTGTTGGTAGATTTCACTACAATTGATAATGTAAATTGTAAGACATGTTGCTTTTTATATGTAATTGTGTGCTTGTTGTGAAAACTTAATTTTTTTTATAATTGTTTATAGTGGCATAATATGCAACTTAAAAAGTTTCATATATTTGGAAATTTGCACGGGGTTCAATATTTTAATAGTTATAACTTATAAGTTATAATATTTAATAATAGATAAATATAATTCTAAGAAATATAATTATTTTTCAAATATTAATTCAATTCCAAAATTCTTGATTATTTTCTTGATATTTTAACTATAGATTATAATATTTTGGGTTGAGACATGTGAAATTTTGATTCGAAAATCATTTCACTGAGATCGTAACTGGTTTCTACGATTTTCACCAGATGAAGTTATAGGTTTATACCTATCTATACTAAATCTAATAACACATACATAGGTACATGTACAAAAACTACACTGACCAACAGTAAGTCATCGGAGCGTCATATTTTTTTATTTTAATGAATTTTTAACATAAATTACTATAAAAGAGTGCCATATTAAAAGTGTGAAAGTTCTTACTTGATATCCTGAATGCGTTTCAACTGTAGAACTCATGTAGCAGACCAAATAATTAGCCAATAATTGCATTTTGGATGGAAGTACATGAATGCTACACGCTTGCCATTTATTTTTCATACATTCCGTTAGTCCTTTTTGACACTTAAAAAACCATTTTCCTTCGAATATTTTTTTCTGTAACGTTTAGTATAATATAATATATTAAAATGAATACGTTTTGTAAAATACATTTGAGTAATATACATTATTTAGTGGCAAATATATAAAAACAAAACATAATAATTATAACACCAGTATAAAATATTGAGAAAAGTTCAGTGATAAATAATTTGTAAATTAAAATAATATCAAGTGTAAGTACTTATAAGTACACTCACGTCGGCATTTCCGAAAGGCACGAAATCAAAGTTAACATATTTTTGAAATTTCGCCAAGCTTGGTCCTATTTGATTTTTGAACAAATCTACAGAATCCGAGGACAAGCTATCGTAGTATATTGATATAGTTATTTTCTGAAAAAAAAAAATCGAGATAAAATATAGTTAATTTTGTTCGTCTTCCTATCGAATATATCAATATATAAGGATTTATTGTTTCACTTACGGGCACAGAATTTTGATTGTCGACGTGAGGCGCGTCATACAAAGGTTTCACCAAAACCTTTTTGGCGGTAGCTAAATCCATCGAACTAGTTTTAGTAACGATTACTAATAAAAAAAAGACGGAAAATGCAGTACTAGCAATCATTTCTAAGGATTAGCTTATTACGACCTAAGCGCACAACTACAGCCGTACTCGTTAAAATTATTAAATGATTGCAAGTCCGTTTTGGTCTCGCCTATATAACCGCACAACACAAGCTCCTCGTCCGTTTATCTACAGTAAGTATGTGTATGGGTATGGGTGCTCGAGACATTGTACTTTATATAATATATTAAAATTATACATATAATAATAGTAATAGATCATGTGTTTGTGTGTGTGTATAGAATGAAAACATTTTACTACCTACTCCCGTAAAATCGGATGTTGTTTTATCTCAAACGGTTATATCTCTATAGGTATTTAATTAATAAAAGCATTGTGAGTTATGATTACGCATCCGTTGTATAAAGGCCATATAAACCTACCTCCTCTGCACATACGTATACAATTAACATGATCTTGAAATTAATTGATTCTTTTTCTGCAGTCATCTGTTCGAGAGGAATCGGATTTAATTGACTGCAGAAATGCAACTAATACAAAGCATTTATATGCGTATTCATGAGAGTGCATATACTACATAATATAATATTGTTTGTTGTACTCCGTGGTTTAACAGGTTTACGTATATCAATATAAACAATTGCAACTCAAGATATTAGTTCGATTAGAGTTTTACCGAAGATTTATCACTGCAAATGCACGGGGAGAGGAAATTTATCCCATTTACATTATTTTAGACTCTGAGAGAGCGATGAATGCATTGGTTTTACAATGGTGTATGTTTTTTATTTATTTTTTATTTATTTTTTTTGTGACTGTTATCACTTTTTGGCACCGTAAAAGTGCTTCAATTTTCTTCAACAGCATCTTTTATGGTAGGAAAGTTAATCTTATTGGTACTTTGGGGGGGTCAAAAGTAAAAAATAATAATATTATAGACATGACAGATCGTCTTCTCAGAAGCGTTTTTCGTATACAATGATTTTATATAACTGAATTCAAATTTAACACCATCCATTACAGTGACCTACTATTGTAACCTAGCTATACTGTACAGCAGAACGGCATCCACTTACCCGCTTTTTTGCTATACATAGTTTTTATATAATTGGTCAAAACCAATTATAATACTGTAGAGAAATTATATTTTGTAGAGCCTCTCCATGCCCTAATACGCGTGGTAAAAATCTATGATACAATTATGGCAGACGTTTAGCAATGTTCTTAATCAGCCAAAAAAACCTGAAACTATATGATTATCGATGTTATCGCAGCTATTTTACAATTTATTTTAGATCTATTAAAAATGACTAACAATTAATCAGTGTATTTATGAAGGTGGTAAATACTTTTTTTTGTAAGAAAGGATTTTCAAAGATGTTGCGTATTAGTGGAGTAATTAACGATTATATTTGTATTGTGTGGCACGGCTGCCCTTGGTCTTCTAGATACCTGCAACTTATCATTTTTGTCCATCATGTAGATAAGCATTGTTCCAAGAAGTTATAGAGATATATTGTAAATATGAAAAAAACAAAAATACACACGGGCGAATCTAATTTAGTAATTCAGCTACTTAAATATAAACATTAAATAACATAATTTAGTAAATATTATTATTATATTACTTATATAGCGGGTGTCACTTTTGACTACCCATACATTTTTTGGGCAACAATGGGTATCGCGGTTTTACTAATCCCCCCCCCCCCAAAAAAAAAAAATACTTTATCAGAAAAATATTTGAGTTCAATACTATTTTATATTTTTGATGTTAGCGAACTCAGTTTATTACATTACATTGATTATTTAAAAAACAGTGAATCTGAAACTATTTATTCAATTAAATCGAATTTGTATAGGTACCTAGTTTACTTGTCGTAATATATTTTATATTTAATTATTTTGAATGGTTTCAAAGCCAAATGTTAATTACTAATTAGCAAATCTCGCTAAAATCAAGATGGAAAAAAATTGTAAGTGCTTGATTTTTAAACTTGGATAGAGTTCTAAGCAGACGTCTCCTACCACCCTCACAATGCAGTCCATTTATACTTCATAGTCTATCCGTCTATATAAAGGTACAAATATAACTACTATTTACAATCGTATACTTACATTAATGACACTTCACTATATATTTAATAATTGTGGCATGTGAGAAGTATTTCGTTGCTGCCTGCTGGTACTTCCAACGGAAAATAGTACCTAAGTAGGTACCTACTTGACATTCGAATACTTCCGTTGACCACTCAACATTCGAAGAAATTCTATGAATTAAATGAGCGTGACAATTATTTGAACTACTAAAGTTGTAATAATTATGTACCCATCTCGGTACAAATGCAAAGAAATGTAAATACGAGTTCGCTAACGATTTATTTTCCAATAATGATGTTGCTATAAAATAACCGAAATTATGTTTGTGACATTATTGATTCTAAGTAAGTAAATTGACGTGTAATAATTATTAACTTTCATTTTCAACACCGAATAATACGAAAGCAACACTGAAAAGCTCAGTTATAAGACTGTATTCTAGCTGTATAGGGTGTCAATATTTTTTGTAAAAAATGTTCAACACCCGTAGGGAAATCGTAATTCAAAGGCACCACCGTAAGTCTAATACGAAAAGTTCGAAAATTAAATCTTTATTGATACCTAATAGTAATTACTTACGCGAATTTTCGTCGATCACAAGCTTACATGGCATAATGTATTTGGGCGAACCCAGAAGACCTTTATTGGAAAGGTGAGTATAAAATATATCCAATGACCAAATCGATGTCGAAAAATTAAGGAGTATCGAAAAACAATTGAAAGATACCCCACTACCTTCACCTACCATTTGTCTAATATTATAAATACCATCTGTGCTTACTGTAGACTATAATAGTGCATGTGATGATAATAATAGTAATAATTACTATAGAAGCATAAAATGTCAGTTGGTTTTTAAAAATATTTAGAACAGAGATGATTAATATTGTTCGTATACCTAACAATAAACTTTGTACACTTAATATATATTTATCAAATTTAACAACATATAATTAATTTTACAGTCATCCATTTTTAAAGAATTTGAAGCTAACAATATTAGCCACCACTGAAACCTACATAGAATAGCTCAAGAACCTAAAATAATAGAAATATTATGTATGGATTGATATGAATTGAAAATTGAAAAATACTTGAATATAGTATAGAATAGAAGTATAGAATAGAATAGGAAGTTATTATGTCGAATCACAAATTCCTGTACTGTAGCTGTTGTGGATCAATGTTACATTGATCTTACAAGGAATTATTTAAAAAACGTAAAACATGATTTATGTTCATTACCATTTATAACTTTGGGTAAAAACAAAATATTATGAATATATATAATATATTATGAAACTTTTAAGTTTTAATTTTATTAGTAATATTTCTAATCCCAACTGTTTCAGGTTAATATAGCAAGTCGTAACATAATATAATATAACATATTGTGTCTTATTCGTTTATGATTTGTTTATCAGTCTTTGTATTTATAGATATATTTAAATGCAATCATGTGGTTTGCAATAATTATTTTCTTATCACTTTTTTTTAAAAAAGTCAATTCCAACTCGTGATAATATTGTTCAGTATTTTTTTTGTATTATATATATTTTATTATAATACGTTATGAGCTAACCTTATAAGTCAAGTTGCACCATTAAGTCATAACCACATTCAAACCGAGAAAATAATGATAACTGTTTTTATTGAAATATAGTGTGATAAATACCTAGATTTTATAAAATGCAATCAAGCTCTTGTCAAAAAAATAAAATATTTAAACAAATAAGTTGATATTGATATTAATATTGAGCCACCTAATCGTATCGGACTGGGATAAAATTTGTTTTTCAAAACAAATAGAAATTGAGTAAAAAGTAGCCTTTAATTTGCTTTTTATTCATTTATTTTTATAAAAATGGATGTATTTTTTATGAAATTTATAATTTATATCACTATATAAGGTATACAAGAGGTAAATATTTTAAAATGTCGTAAATTCTCTATAGGGTTTTTTGGTTTGGTGTTATGTCGTTGGTGATGTCCTTATGTGGCTTGCAAATTTATCAATTATACAGCAATTGGTTGAGTAGTAGAACGATATTGACGTTGGATAACAATAAGTATGGTATATGGGACCTACCGTTTCCTGCAATTACATTTTGTAGTGATATTCAGCTTCAACATATAGACAACAGGACACTCGGAGACGATGCTTTTAATAAGTAATAATAATTATAATAATCGCCGTTAATATTACAAGTGTAACATTTTTGATTTTAGAGAATCAGAAGATGTAATAAATTTGCTGTGTAATAAGTTTGAACTTTATAAAAACGTGACATTAAAAATGATTAAATCAAAAAATTGGGAGCACGTGATCAAGGTTATACAAATTTTAAATTAAATTTATTAAATTTTTATTATTTGCTCAGTTTTCTGTATAAATATATTATATAGAATATAGATCCTTTTTTTGTAAAGATGTAGTTATTTAAATATAGCATTTTGATGTTATCAGTATTTTTTCTTTGAAAACAAAAAAAAACTACTCTGTGATAAGTGCAAAATATGTTATATTGGTAATACTTGAGTTCTTTAAAATATTTTTGTAGCGAATTTTTAACTTTTTTTGGGGCGTTTTAAGGAATTTTTTATTTTTATTATAAGTACTCGTATTCTTTACAAGATTTTAACTTGTCTCTATTTATTTAAAAATACATAGGTACTATTATGATATCAGAATTTATAGAATTTATTGCAGTAAATCAAATTTTATAAAAATTTTTAGAAACTTCGATGACTTATCTATATATTTGCTTAAAAATGTATTTAAATTTATTCTACTTATAGTGGTACAATAATACAATGTTTAAAACTGTAAAAAAAATATGTATAAATACCTACTTCACAACTTACATTGCCCAATATACCTCGGACATTGTATACAATACCCGGTCACTGTATACAAAGCCTGGACATAGTATACATTGTCCGAATTTTCCACTTTGCCCGTAACATATATATTGTAACATCAATGCGTGACTTTAGTTATTAACTATATTACAGAAATCAAGCAAATAGATTAATTAACTAACTATTTTAAAGTAATTGTTCAGTTATTCATTATAACATTTTTAACACGTATAATATTATAGATTAAAATACATTTCTATACCTGTATTAGTGCAGCTGTGGGTAATTAAAATGTATTAAATTTCAAGATCCATAACTATTGCTAATACAGTGTAAAACCCGTTGTTTTTAAATGAGAAAAGCGGAATAATACTTACGCGTTTTATTTTATTTTCAAGTACCACAATACTGGCTGCAAAAATCTGATTCCTATGTTATTTTGGATTCAAGACGAAATCTACTCGCCTTGTGATTATATCCAACCGATTATAACGTCATACGGGCTGTGTTATTCAATAAATATGATTCCTCATCATCATTTAATGGACGATAACTATCTCCGATCGTAAGTATTAAAATCGCTTACGTCCTGTATCGTCATTGCACAACTATACTCTATTCGCCGGAAGAATACTGATAACTGAGGCACCAACAGTTATTTTAGGGCTTTAGGCGCAAGGGTAGTAAATATTTGATCATATAGTTCATAGTTTTGTACTACCATATAATGCATAGAGTAAAGAAAACTGCAGGTGGCTAATAATCAGTATACATGCACGCATTTGGACATTCTTTTCCGGAATGGACTATATTATATCAGGGACGGTCCCGGGGCCCTTCCCCCCGTCTTAGCCACCACCCAAAAGACATATAAATGCCTATATTATTGGATACTACCATTGATGATATTATATTATACTGTACTTATGATCAATGTGCATTGTATTTGTGTTACAACAAAATGTTGCCACGCCCACACCTGTGCTCTGGATTCGTGCCTAAACTATATATACCTAGAAATCTGGGTGGAATAGGTGATCGATCACATACAATTTCATTCCAATATTGTATATAATTAATAATTATTACATAATATTATTGCATGTCCGGTGTAGAACGTCTTTTTTGAACTTGACACAAGCCGATATCGTGGCGAAGAAAAACCAAACCACCTGGACCCCAGAAACTGGTTACAGCCTGAACGCTACCCCGTTTGACGTGCCGTGGAGAGTGACCGGCGACACCGTCGACAATGCGGTTCGGTTGATCTTTGATTTGAAGAACGAGAATTTAGGAGACCACTGTCCGAAAAGAGAATCTGGACTGACGGTATACCGACAATTATCGTTTAGTTTGTTTGATCATAGTCCATAGATTAAATATAGTATACTTAATCTATGGTTATTGGTTTGATTTAGAACTAATATTTACTATTTTTATATATTTCTACATGACACAATTAATACTATAATAACGACATACGAACTTCATAGGCGTGCGCACGATTTTGTGTCTTATCTGTATATTTTATAGATAGGACTAGTGAAAGGTGCAGCGTAAGGTAAAAAATATGTGTACTCTAATAGTCGTTCATCATTCAATAATTACATTATGTTAGAGTATCTAAAGACTAAAATGTCGTTCAGTAAGCCCTATACATCCCATAGGTAGGTATACCAAGAGTATTCAAACTAAGGTTAAGATGAATAATATCTACTGAGAATATAATTTTCCTTTGAACGAAAATATTTTTTTATTGTTAAATTTTTATCACTAATTTATTAATTACCTATTAATAATCACTGTACTTATATTAATAATATAATTAAAGTGTAAAGTTATCTAACAATGAGTGTTTCACATTAAGTTTCCAAATGATTCATTTAGCATTTGAGTAAAGGTTACTACTATACACAAAATGGTTGTGTACCTAATGGATAATTTATACGGTTATTATATGTTTGGATATTAATTGTATGACGAACCCATGGAAATACGTTCGCCAGTTTAAAACCCATACTTATTATAGATATAATATTGCATCGATAAATCATTTTATAATTTTTTATTTGATCAACCATCAATATTGAACATTCATATTTTAATTTTATTTAATACATAAGCATTTTAAATAAAATATATTAACCAACCCACTAAATCTAAAATAAATTTCAGGTATAACGAAAACAATTTGCATTATTTGTGCGCATGCGCCCATATGACTACCTGGCTTATAATAATGTACCTACACTTGCCTCGAATTTAATGGTCGAATAAATTCGAAACAAGTATACGTTGGGAGTACGTATTAAAATATTATAAAACGATAATCTGTAAAAAAAATTCCTTAGTCTTAAAACAAAATAGCATAATGCAGTGTAAGTTTTGTCACAGTGCTGCGATAGGTAAATCGTGGTTTTATATAGTGTATTTTCTAGTAGTTACTCTTTACACCACAATGTAAGCCTACATTCTACACAGGCACTCAGTAGGATTTAAAAAATTACTCACCACTTATTACGTGTGATTACATAAAAAAAAATTTTTTAGAAAATAATTGGAAAAATCAGCGGAAAGATGAAAAATGTAAATATAAAAGTAATGAGGTTATATGGGATTTATCATGGGGTTATCCTCTCATCACATTTTGACCACTGTCACTAATTCAGTTAACTAGTCTTTCGCTCTTCGGTTCCCACTTCTCATAGGTACTATGGACAAATGGACCATAATAATATGAAAATTACTTGCAGTTGATAGTGCATAGCCCAGCTGATGTTCCGGTCGGAATCCAACCTACAGCTTACGTTACCGGTAGTAGTATGCTGTCTGTCGCATTGTCGCTAAATATTATACGTACCTCATATAAAATCAAAAAATGGTCTCCAAAACTTCGAAATTGTTTTTATCAACACGAAAAAAAATTGAAGTTTTTTAAGATCTACACACTTCACAATTGCGAAATCGAGTGCAGAGCCAATAACACATTTAACGTATGCGGTTGCAATGCTTATTTCCAACCAAGTGAGTGTGCACTGTACATACATGGGTAATATAATTATATTATATACATAGTAGTTTCCGGACTAGTCATTACCTAGTAAAATTCTTTAATATTCAACTTTTAAGTTTAAACATATTATATTCTTTTCTTTTTTGATAGAAATCGGTAATAATTAAGTAATAACAATTTACTCATCTATATATATTAAAAATACCAACATATTTAATTAAAAACGACTATAGTATTTTATATTGTAATGCTTGTGAGCTGTGATATTACAAAGCTAACGTTATTTTACAGGAGATCCAGGAGTTCCGGTTTGTGGTACTGAAAGTTTAGAATGTATTAGAGAATCCTCGACTATTGGTGAATTTTCGATTTAATTTTATTACACCTTATAACAATATTACATTATAGGTTCATTATAATATGCGAATTTCAGGTTATTCGATTTTCAAAAAAACAGTAAACATGTCAAGTAACGTTGAAGGATGTGATTGTTTGCCATCATGTACAAGTATTCAGTACGAGTATGAAACTGTGGAATTTTTTAGAAACTGGACAACAAATTCTACAAAACCAAAACTGTAATATAAAATTAATTAGGTAACCATTGAAAAATTTAATGAAAACTAATTTTTGTTTCTGTTGTTGTTCTAATTTGACGTAGAGTTCTTACTGAAAAATCAGCTGTAGTATTGGTTTACTTCAAAAGAAAATCCGTAATCGATATACAAAAAACTCCTTTGATGCCGTTTAACGAACTATTAGGTAGGTACCAATAATCATTTTTAAACAAAATACTTTTTTTTTCTATTACGTTAATATTATTGTTTGTTAAAAAAAATTTCAGGTAATATAGGTGGATTGTTTGGATTATTTCTTGGTTGCAGCATAATCAGTTTCTTTGAAATCTTATATTTTTTTGTGATACGATTATATTTTGATCATCGGAATCGTAAAAAGGCCAAATCAAAAATAATGCCAAGTTTTATCATTGAATCATAAAAAAGATACTGGGATATCAGTATTAAATATACAATAGTAGATTTACACTATACACTATACACTATATTATTATAAAATAGTATGATTATTTTAGAAGTAGTCAACTAATTTTTTTTGCAAACACTTAAAATTATAGACAATCTTTATTCACCTCATTTGAAATTAAATTTTTACTGTTTTTCATCTAAATTATTTTTCAGTTTTTAATTTTTCAATGGAAATATACATTTTTAATTTCATATTCCGATTAAGAATATCGAACTAGTTGTTAGTTTGCTTAAGTATTTAAAGTTTAGATGGACGGGCTGTAGCGACGAAAATATTAAAATTGTATTTATATGCCTATCTATGTCACTTAAAATAGAATAAAAACTTTTAAAGTAAATAAAAATATGAAAGAAATATATAAGAACATAAAAATGATAATGATGAAAAATAGTAAATTATAAAAATTGCTTGAAAAGTACAAATATTATTTTTTAATGGCTTCTATAATAATTTAAAATATTTGTTTTCAAAAATGTTTAGTTTTCTAAATTTTGAGTGTCTAAATTTTAAAAAAATCATCCTGCATAGTGTATCTGTAAAATGATTATGCATAAATATCAGCATTACATTTTAATTATCTAACACTCGCACTGCACAATATCCATTATAACCAGACCTAATCCATATAGGTAACATGTTTTTTGTTTATTAATGCATTTAAAAATCATTTAATGTGTATAAATATGATATTAAAAAGTTAAAAAATATATTTTGTTGGTCATAATATCAATAATTATTTTCTGTTAATAACAATTATATAATTATTAAAATACTTAATCATAATTTTTTACAACGTATGTACTAGAGTCAAGTAAAACTATTGGTTGTTCTAAGTATCACTGTTATAGTTAAAAATTGTATTAAAAATTAATTAATTAATTAATTAACTGTGAGTCCGTGAATTTGTATGGAATTTTAGGTTTAGAACTTTGGATCGTATAGAAACGATACTTATTTGATTACAATAATTAGTGAGTAAATAATAATAAATAATGTTTCATTCGAAAAGTGTTGTAGAATATATATAATCTTGAAATGTTCAACAATTGTGTACAATTATGTAAATTAGCAAATGAATTTATACCAATACAATTTGTAGGGCACAGTATTGCGTCTGTAAAAAATCACAACAAACCTCTTTTATTTCCCCTAACCGCATGAGATTTGCAGCTGGTAACAAACCCTGGAGAAATAAACAATAAACAGTAAAAAATTTAAATAATTTTGTTGTCTATAAGAAAATCAAACTTTATATAGTATCACCTGAATATTTTTTCCAGTGACTATAATTTCCCCGGAATAAATAAAGTCTACTAAGAGCTGTAAGGTGGTAGAATCTATCTGTCTCAAGACAACAATATCTATATTATTTTGTGTAAAATGTGTGAACCTTGCATGGAGATATGGACTACCCGATGTCAAAACAACTTTGTGGCCGAATATAATTTTTCCATCATCTGTTTTTAGTTTTATATCACAATAAACCTCATATATAAAAACATAAATGTGTTACTAATATTTATCTAGCAGTTCAAATCACTTGCCACAGACTGCACTTACTTGCGTAAAGATTGAAATGCTTTAAATATCTCAGGGTTTGACGATTTTTTATACTCGTATTTCTCATCTCTAAAAACAAAAATGTGTTGCTTATATTTATATTTATATTAGTTTAAATCTCTTCCACGTACTCGCGTAAGGACAATTTTAATTTGAATTGGTCCTTAAAAGATGACCTTTTAAACTCATATTTTGCTTGTTCCCATACTCTGGATTGCGGTATTTGCTTTGAATTTTGCATTGTCAATTATTGTATATCAAGTCCAAAATTTGGAGGCCTTAATATAAAAACAGGGCATTAAATTGATTTTAAATATTGATAAACATCTTTAAACATGCTATTGAAATCAAAAAAAATAATCAAAATCAAAATTTTGAAGAATAATATTTAAAATGTATATTGAAATTTAATTCAAATTTAATTCAAATTTAAATTTCAACAATAACCAACAAGTCAACAATTTTATTTTTTCATCATTTCTTAGCCACGCTTAATAGGACATGCAAATTTCGCGGCACTAATAAAAGGTAGAAATCAAAATTAAAATGGTAAAAAATGTAAAATTAACCACTTTTTTTATATGTTTATGAAATTACTAAATTAGATATTTACACAATGTAAAATACAATCCAAATATTAATTTGGGCATATGTTAATTCAAAAAAGGTAGGCATAACTGCATAAGTGTGTACCGTTCTGTCGTATATTCGATGTCGTGAGGCCGTGTGGGTCACTGTAACGGATATCTTAAATTTTTAGTTCTTTGATCAATTAAATAATTACATACAAAAAATGATTCTGAGGTAAGGCAGTAAAAAGAGGGGCTAAAAAGCCTAAATCATTAAGTTTTTTCATGTTATTATTGCTATTAAGGCATATTATATTTTATTATTAGTAATTGGTAGGTTAAATTAATTGTTGCCCATAACATTGCATTTAAAAATTTTAAGAATGTATAAAAAAATGCATTTTAAGAATCAAAATAAAAAAATTACAAAAAAATTTGATAGAATTTAAATTATTGAAAAAAAATTGAAGGGGATTATGGGCGCCCGCGGGCAAATGAATTTTAAGAATTAAAAAAAAAAATGTATGAAAAAATGTGCATTAAAAATATATGTTATAGAATATAAAAAATATGATCAGAGTTCTATTGACTTTACCTTAGTACAATAAAATAATGTGTTGATGGAATGAAAGTTATTATGGACACAAAAAATTAAAGTGAAAGAGGTCTAAGCCCTAAGAGCTCTTTTACGTTAAAGCTATTTTTGACTTAAATAGTTTAATGTTTGAATTAAAATAATATCGTGTTTCAAACGGTAACTAGCATACATTTTGAAAAAGTATACAAATAATTTATAAGTATAATATTATTAATATTTTTGTTTTGGTCTTAGTAAATATGTTGGAAAAATAGATTAAGTGCAATTATTAAAGAAGTGAGAAGAAAACATATTGGGAATTCTAAGACAATATAATTTTAATACACTAAACCATATTTTAAGTCGAAACTAATGAATAAATAAATACTGAAAACCTCACAATAACTCCTCATGCCGTCAACTCTCATTATTTCTTAATTAACATTTTGTTATATTTTTCGATAAATTAGAATTTTTAAATCAGTTTTTATAATTTTTTGTGATAGACAAATCACTAATTAGTGTTCACTGTATTTAAGTTATTATTTATTATATAAGTACTGGTATAACGCTAGCCAACTTTAAGCCTGGCTTTAAAACTGTATATACAAATTATGATACTTAATTAGGTTCTAATTTATCTTGGTAATATTTAAATATTTTATTTTATCGTTATGCTTATACAATATCGAATACCTTGGTAGTTAGTAGAAAAAGATCATTGCAATATAATACACTCGACCAGGGATGATAATATACTACCACTAGCTTACTCTCATCACCATAGCTTCAACTATCCATAGCCCTTAGGCGTACTAACCTTTTTATGACTTATTTAACCCTCTGTCTTAACAGCATAGACGCGCGAGTTGGGCAGTGTGGGAGGTGATAGTTTAATCACCCCCGTTTGGCGCGCGACTAACAGAGGGTTAAGTGGGACCCTTAGAATAAAAAGATCCTTATTTGGTTTGTGTCCGCTTACCAAGTTGAACTTTTTTTTTATTTTATGATTCGTAATATGCATTTGCCTGCGAGCTCCCATGCTCCCTTTAACATTTTTTAAATTTATATCTTATTTAAGTTGATTTTTTGTTATTTACATTGTATAAACTTTGGAATATAGGAAGTGGTTTCAAAAAAATCATTGTTTATTGAACTAATTGTTTTAAGTATGATTTTCGGTCAATGAATTTGAATATGAAGTTGAACCTTTTTTGTTTAATTATTACAACTTCAAACAACTTGAAGCATATGATATATGCGAAAGGTGATAAAAACTTTTATATGTGCTTCAACTTGAAAGTATGATTGGATGTACGTTTAAGAAGTAACTAGTAAGTATTAATATTTTATAAGCATGTGTTGGCCCCGTGTTACAAGTACTCATCAATGTCAGCAGATCTCATTTAGCAATGGAAGTTTTAATATTAGAATGATTATTATTATTTGGAATCAACGAAGATGAATGATAACTGCTTAACTAAAATTTGATATGTTTCATACTTGTAAGACGCATTTGAACAATTGGAGATCACGCATTCAAGTGAAATGTCTTTCTTAAAGCAATATCTTTTTATTAATTATTTAAGTTTCATATGTTTTGTAAAAATTCTAGGAAGATGTTCGGATTTGAAGCAACTGAATAACGTATTGAAATAATTTTATTTTGAAATTCTTTGAGCATTATCTGGATGATAAACTTTCTCCCCGTCAACTACAATAACCGACTAAAATAATCGTAATTTTCAGCGATTCTATTAAATCTATTTGTTAAATTAATATAAACAATTTGGATTTTTTTTTTTGTCTAAAGCATCGGAAACTATGACAATTAGCATTTTTTGTAGGAGTCACGGTTGTGTTTCAGTAACACGTGTGTATGTGGAGCTAGGATTCGTCACTAAACACCCAGGTGGTCACCCATCCGGATGCTAGCCACGCCGGCCGATGATTGACACCCATTAGGGACTACAGCCAATCACCGTGCCACACCAAGCCCAAACTGCATTCTTTTTATTTTGTATTAATTGTATATCACATATAATTATGTATGCCAATTTGATTGGAAATAAACCGTGCACTATGGCTAACAGCATCTTTTGTAGGGGTCACGGTCAGGCTCGAGTAACACGTGTGTATGTGGAGCTAGGATTCGTCACTAAACACCCAGGTGGTCACCCATCCGGATGCTATTTATATCTATTTAATTGTATAAATATGTTATTATTCTGCGACCTGGATATGCCGTCGTCGTTTGTGCTATAAGCGTATTTTTTTGTGTTGCGCGCTCGGGAACAAAAAATATGCCACTACTTTACCCGGGTAGCAAATTGTCTGTAACAATAAATTTTAATTTTGAGAGTTTGAGACTAAAAAGTAAAATATGTAAGCCCCAAAAGAATAGGTAATCAAACTTACGCATACATCGACTCTTCGGGTAATATATAGCCGCAAGGCCATATCTTGAGTGCAGACGTCATATCGAGGAACTTCTTTCTTCATCTAAACCCGTACTGAAAAAATCGAGATTTTTTATAAAAATTACTTTAGTAGAATGAAATATGTGAGCAAATGTTTATTGTTGCCTTACACATTTCTCTTTTTTTCAATGAAATTATTAGAAATGTGAATGTGACGACGATCTGCTTTTGCCATAGATGATAGATATTATAATATAATATGTTGTTATAAGTTTTCGAGTTTTTGAATTCTTTGGATGACACGATACATTTTTTAATTCAGATTCCGAAACATAATATTATTCGGAGTGTTTAAATCTATACAATTCAGAACACGGAACTCTCCGTATAGGCCATTTGGATACACTACTGTCGCTAGTCCATTTTTTTGTCCGGCATCTCACAATATTGTTTTTAGTCTTGTGTAAATTTCATATAATATGTACGATTAATTTAGTGTTACACTAAAAACCAAAATCGATTTTTTCGAAAACTTGTTTTGCCTAAAAATTCCTGTTTTTCAAGTTGCTTTTGAAAACTATTGGGAATTTTAAATTTTGACCTCCCGAATGCAGTAACTAGATTCACTTTCTTACCAGAAAAGTTGCTGTTGAAGAAAATTGAAGCACTTTTACTGCAAGAAACTGCGACGACACACAAAAAAAAATTAATAAATAAATATAAAAACACACATCATTGTAAAATGAACTATAAAAATTAATTTAATTTGAAGTAAATTGTAATGCTTAATTTAAAAAATCTGAACTTTAAATATTTATGGTGGTCAAAGAAGACTTGTAACACACTAGGTAATTGTTCGTCGCCTCCCGACAACAGGTATGCAATAAATATTATCAATTAGGTACTTATAATTCGACAAAATCGAAAAAATATTTTCTACTACATACAATATACAGTATAATACTCACATTAACTTTTTTTTGTTAGTTCGTATTTATGAAATGGATTATTAAAAAAAAACTGTTTTCCGTTTTCACGGGGTCCTAATTATAACGAGTGGCCCAGCTATAGGCGGGTGCCTATATACTTAGCCTAATGAGTAATGGGTAATGCGGAAACTGCACCTAATCCTGTTTCAGCATAGTAGGTACATTGGCAGCCGCGATCCCGATATGACACATAAAATATATTATGTATATTAAGTATATTAAATTGTATACATATCCAAAATATATGAAAATAAAATGTTGCCATGTACCCATTATGATAGTTTTATATAATACTAGCTGACCCGGCAAACGTTGTTTTGCCATATAAATTATTTCTTGGTAATTTGTAGTGTAGAAAAAAATAACCAACTTATTGTAAGTGTATATAGGTAGATCAATTACCCGACGTTGCCCGGAAACAAATTCGTGACAAATGAAATAAAGCCATGTATTACCATTTACCTTCTTAAATACATAATTATCGATAAGACATAAGGTTAGGATACTAAACTTAAAAAAAACTAAGTTTTTTGAAAAGTAATTTTTATTATTTTGGAAAAATACTACATAACTACCGATTAACCAATATTTCTTTATAAACTATATTATTAGTTTTTTCATCAGGGGCATAAATGTATAAGTTTTTTTCTGAGCTTTAAAATAAATACCGCGAACCTCACCCACCCAGTCTACGTAACTGGTCATTATTTATTATAATTGATAACTCCTTTGTTTTTAAAGTTAGAGAATCTATCAAAAGCCATAAACCTTCTCCGCAATGAGCTCTTCAATTTAAAAAAAAAATCATAAGGATCGGTTCAGTAGTTTCCGAGAACATATCACTCAAAGGTTTTCATTTTCACATTTATATATTAGATAATACATTTTTCTGTCTTGTAGGAAATTACATACTCGATACCAAAGCACCTTTTTTACCATATAGGAATTAGGGACTTACGCTTCTCATTTTATATTGTTGACGCCGTTGACAGTTATAAAGAAATTCATAATTTAACTATAATGATTATTGATTTACTTAGTACTTAAACAACTAAAACGTAGTAGGTACCTAAACCTAATACATATTGCATATTTGCATACCTTTTATAGTTTTATTATACTTGTATGGAAGTATTAAATTATTAATAATACCGTATAAATTAAACTATAATATAGGTTATATTAATTGTTATATTAGGCTTATAGAACTATTTCAAACAAATTCCACAGCTCTTTACCCTTTGTACTCTATGCTGCCACCATTTAGGGTAATTGCACCAAAACACATACAAATGCAATTCTAGTTTTCTATTAGTCCAGAACATTAAAGAACAATTTTAAAAAAATTTACAAAAGCGAAGCCCTTGGCCAAAATTGGGTGAGCAATGAGCATGCTTGTTGAGTACCCTATATAATCCATATCTTTGAGTATTCTAGTAAATATAATGCACTCAAGCTTGTATGTACATAACATGGAAGTATATCGTATATGTATGCGTTCTTAAGTAAACAAACTGTATGCTGTTCATTTCAGGCACTCCAACACTCAGTACTAGCTTGGATGTAAAATCAAGTACCTAGGTAATTTATCATTTAAACTATGTCATGAATAGGGCCCGGATTTATAAGCACTTGCAGGTTTTTCTAAACAGTCCAAAAAATAGCTAGGTAAGCTAAGTTTGAATTATATTCACTACTCGTAGATTTTATTTTGCATATTTTGTAATTTTTTTGCTTATTTTCATTAAAATAACGTAGTTATAGTCATATTTATTGTTCATGTAATTTGACGAAGTCGTTTTCTTATCTTATCTAAGACCTATCGAGACAAGTAGTAATCTGTTATTGAGTAGGTTTTCATGAATTATACATTAGTCGTGTTTGTCGTGATCCAAGTGCGGGTAATTTATTTTTATATGATTTCATTTATTAATATTCAAGTATACATTTTTCAGATTGAAATTACAATACAATGAAATAACTACAAAAATGAATCGTATAAAAAATAAATAAAAAAATATAATATAATTTTATGTAAACCTATGAAAAATAATGAAAATGAGACTTTTTTTTAATCGATTTTGTTGCATATTTTTTATTTCATAGGGTATATTTCTGCAAAAGAAAAGCATAAATGCATATTTTAAAGTGCATATATTTCTGAGGTTTTTAGAGAATATAAATCCGGGCCCTAGTGATGAATAATTATATTGAATAAAATCATATTTTTTTTTATATTTTGTCAATACAAATTTGTACTGAAGTCTAGAATAATTAAATTAATTTTAATTTTGATTAACCATTACTGCAGTCATTGAATTTAAGCTAACCACTATAACTTTCATAATATAGTTAACCTAACTACTATAAAGGTAAGAAAATATTACTGCAGCATATTGAATTCAACAATATTTTAATAAAAACATATTATACAAAATATCTATATTAAAATAATGTCATAATACTAACGATGTAGCCATGTAGTTACAAAAATTATTCCATTGTATTTTAGAATTCATAAATGTTTGAAAGTTGATAAATGATTTGTGCTTATTTTTTGTATTTGTATTAATGTGATTATAACTGGTGCCCTTGAAATAAAAAATTTCGATATTTATTTTAAAATATCAATTCACATTTTTACGGTTTAAATTTTGATTTCTATACTTATGGGCCAAAGGTATGTGATCTTAATTTGTGCGTCCCACATAGCCATATAGCTGGTATGGGTTATTCTATATGGCTGTATGATAAGATCTAAACAAAATTAAATAACCTGCAGATGAATAATATTATTGACCCTTTAATTCTTGTTGAATTTAAAATTTCAATATCAATTTTGAATATTATTATAACAAAATACCGATTTTGATATTAGTTTTGATTTCAAATAGAATTAGTAGGTAAAGATGTTTATCAATATTTAATATCTATTTAATGCCCCGTTTCGGTATTATGCAATTCTAGAATTAATATACAATTTACCATGCAAAATCTAAGGGATCTAAAAATATCCAGTAGAAGTGAACCAGCAAAATACAAGTACAAAAAATCGTCTTATACGGATATATTCGAAGGATTACAATCCTTACGCAAGTAAGTGGTATAATAATTGCACCATGCAATTTAAACTAATAAATAAATATTAGCAACACATTTTTGTTTCAGAGATGAAGTTTTTTGTGATATTAAGCTAGAAACAGATGATGGCCAAAAAATATTTGGACACAAAGTGGTTTTAGCATCGGCTAGTCCATATTTTCATGCTATGTTCACAAATTTTGCGGAAAGTAATAAAGATCTTGTTATTATAAGACAGGTGGATCCAACCGCCATACAACTCTTAATTGACTTTATTTATTCTGGGGAAATCGTGGTTACCGAAAAAAATGTACAGGTGATAGATGATAAAGTTTGATTTTTTTAATGATAACAACACTTTATAATTTTTTTATTGTTATTTACTATAGGTTCTGTTGCCAGCAGCAAATCTCTTGCAGTTACAAGAAATAAAAGAGGCATGTTGTGATTTTTTACAAGCACAACTGCACCATACAAATTGTCTTGGCATATATGCCTTAGCTGATTTATATAGCTGTATGAAATTGTTAACAAGTTCAGAATTATATACTCAACAGCATTTTTTGTGCGTTTTCATATTGTTTATTGTTATAATTCCATAAGGCAATTGTATTTATTATTATTACCTATATTTTGGTTCTTAGAGAAGTGGTTGAAGGAGACGAATTTCTATCGTTATCATCTCAACAAGTCATTAACTTGATATCCAGTGATAAACTTACGGTTCAATCTGAAGAAAAAGTAGGCAAATTAAAATTGATTAGTTATATTTTAGAAAAGACAATTTATTTTAAATCACTTACTTACATATAATATTAAAGTCAAATATATTTGTGAGACTATCTTTTTATTGTTGTAGGTGTTTGAATGTGTTATCCGTTGGGTAAAATATAAATTGGATTCCAGAAAATTAATTTTGCCCCAATTAATGGAACATGTACGTCTACCATTAACGTCGAAAAATTACATATTAAAAAATGTAATTGAGGAACCTCTTCTTAATAACTGTCCTAAATGTATATACTTTTTTGAATTATATGATTCTATTGGAAATAAATATGTGTGTTAAATATACATAATTTTTATATTTTGAAGGTAAAGATTACATTATTGAGGCATTACAATTTCATTTACTGAAGTCCAGTGATCTCATCACAATTCCACAAAACATCAGGACTAAACCTAGACACGCTGGTAGATCACGTAAAGTAAGATTCCGTTATAATTCTTATTTCTCTTTTTAATATTTGTATCGATTTTATTTTAATAGGCTATTTTTGTGGTTGGAGGGCAAGGTACTAAAGCAATTAGTAATACAGAATGGTACGATCCAAAAATCAACCGATGGCAGATTGGACCAAAAATGATTACAGGGCGTTGTAGGGCTGGTGTAGCTGTAATAAAAGATAATTTTGTGTTTGCTGTGGGTGGTGTATTTAAATCAATTCATAAGTCTATTGATGTGCTAGATTTAACTTCAGAATCACAATGTTGGAAACCAACAGCTGACATGTTAGTTGAAAGAAAAGAATTAGGAGTTGGTGTAATAAATGATTTTCTATATGCTGTAAGTTATTGTGTTGAAATAAAACTTACTACCCACTTTATTTGTTATTTCTGTTGTAAAGTAGATAGCAATAAATAAAATAATAAATTCAAGGTTGGCGGGTTTGATGGTGTATCAAGCTTGAATAGTGCAGAAGTTTTTGACTGCAGAACTCAAGAATGGCGGATGGTATCTAATATGTCTACTAGAAGATCTGGCCTTGGTGTTGGAGTATTGAATAACTGTTTGTATGCGGTAAAATAATTTTGATTTTATTATTTTAAATTGTATTGTACATTTGTTTTAATGGTAATTGGAATTTGGAATAAAAATCCAAAAGAAAACAGTTCTGCCGAGGAAGAACCAAAGAAGAAATACTTAGAAATATTTTAAAATATATGTATATTAACCTATTCAGTTCAATGATTTAATTGAACACACCAAAAAATGTTTCAATGCTCGATAAACCTATACATAGGAGTTACAAAACCCGATTTAATTTTTATTTTACAGATTTATAGGTACCTACATGCCGTAATAAAAACAAAATATTATTAATGTTATAATTTGGTACTCATTAATATATTTTTTTTTTTTATTGAATTAAGTCTCGACAACTATGGCCATTGGCAACAAAGAGTTTAACTCTAAATTATTTACATGTTATATAAGTTACATATTAAATACTATTGATAAGGTTGGACTTAGTAATGAAGGTTATCATGTGTCTTATGTTGTCTGGGTGGAGAGTTTCTGACAGAATGTTTGAAATGCCTGCTTCTCGTCTATCCTCATTACCTAATATTGTTAGTGTTTGAAAATTGTATTGTAAAATATAAAAAGTGAATTAAATTTCATTTAATGTTCACTTTCAACATTAAATATAGCTTAATTTTAAAATTATTTGGTACTTGATTTCTATATTATTTATAATTCTTGAACTTATACAATGTTTAATTGAATATAATATCAACTAATCATAAATGTATGTTTCTAATTAAAATGTATAATGTTTACTCATTCAACGTTTTATAAATATGTAATATGTATTCAAGCACTTCCATTGAAAAATGATATACAACTATACCTACCTGTTGGATTCCGGCGGTTTTTTTTAGGACCAAGCATTTTTATTTTGTTATTTATTTTAATTCGATTGTATAGGTAGGAGGTTATAGTTTTTCATCAAGGCAGACTTTAAACACTGTTGAATGTTATCATCCCGGTCTTGATGTATGGACATTCGTCGCAGATATGTGTGTACGTCGCTGTGGTGTGGGTGTAGGAGTTTTAGATGGAGTATTGTATGCGGTAGGTGGTTATGATGGATTAGAAGTTCGGAGTAGTGTTGAAGCATATACACAAAGTACAGGAGTTTGGACTACTATTGCGGATATGCATTTGTGTCGAAAAAATGCAGGTAACTTCTTGTATAATATCTAGTTAAAAGTTATTTTATGAAACATTTTTTTTGAACATATTGAATTTAAATTTGATATTCAATATAGGTGTAGTTGCATTGGATGGTTTATTGTATGTTGTGGGTGGAAGAGACGGAACTTCTAATTTGGATTCTGTAGAATTATACAACCCCGTTACGAATTCCTGGTCCATGCTAGAAGCATCAATGCATGTAGCACGATATTTTGCAGGAGCAGTGGCCATAAACCTGCAAATTAGTTCATGAGTCTATGTTAATACAGCCATTGATATAGGTCACCACGTTTTAAACTACTTGTTAGTTGTTATCGCATCCATATGGTTTTATATTTTCGTATTTATAATTTATTGAAATCTTCTTATAATGTATGATTATCGTGATACTATGTTTGTTACTATGTTTACTTTTAGTTTTATTATTCTATTAATTTTACAGCTTTTGAACGTTTTATCAAAAAGTTTTTGTACAATATTAAATGAATAAAAATGAAATAAATTGTTTCCGAAATTGTATAATATTATGTACTTTTATAATGTCTAACGAATAACATCCAAAAATACATTTATGAATTATTGTTTTGATATTGTGAGTAAACTATTTAGTAGTTATGTATTATGTGTATATTTTTAATGCACAATATACAATATTGCATAGAACAGGCATGTTTTGATTTACAAAGTAAAACGATGAGTTGAAAGAAAAATCACAAAAAATAAATAAGGTAGGTAATTAATGATTTAAATTTGTTTTATTAAAATTATTTATTAATGAATGATAATGAATTGCTTAATTTTTATTGAGATTTTTTAATTTTTTTATGAATGTTTTGTAAATAATTTGAAATTTAATTAAAGGAACTTCTAAGTTGTAATTACTGGAATATGTATTGCTGTGGTAACAAGGTAGCTGCTAGGTTGCAGCTACTGTACTAAATTTCAATAATTTGTTAAGTGCCTTCTATATGTGATAACATACAACCTTACATACAAGGTTCTTGTTAAAAACTGAAAATAGACACATAATCTGTTTAAAACATAATAATTGTAAATACATTTAATTTTTGTCCAAAGGATACAGAAATTGAAACTGTTGTAAAATGTAAGTACGAAATTTAGTGATTTTTGGTAAAGTTTTATCAGATCTTAGAGCACTTCAGCTGCACTTCAACAGTTTATCTGAACACAGTGTATACTATTCTTCTTATCGTATCCGGTGCGTACTATTTACACAATTATACTGATATACATTAACAAAGAAATACTGAACTGCGTATAACAGCACGTGTTTTGGAGATAAAATACATCGACATTTGTAAGATATATAACATAGGTAGTATCAAATACTCAAAACTACAATATCAATCTATATAGGTACTCAAGTGTCCAATTGCTACTACAATACCTGGGTACTATAATATAGGTACATTATATGTAGGTACTATTGTACTAATAATTATTAAAATTTATAAAATATGTGTTAAAAAGTCTATATTTATTTTATTGTATATTTTATTTAGGTACTTTCGAAAAAATATAAATGATAAGCATTTGTTTGAAAATATATCTCAAAAGTAGGTATATCGTATATGATATTAATATGTCTTTAATATAATATAATAACAGAAGGTCATTGTTAATGATCTCGTAAGGTTACGTCTTACACATAATTATAATATTATATAATATAAATATATATCACCAATAATATTACTGATTAAGTTTTGTTGGCCTGAGCACTGAGCTGTTAGTATAAACGATAATTTTAATATCGAACATATTTTGTGCAAGTCTATTTACGTTATAATTTTACGTATTTATAAATATTAATCAAACATATTTCTAAACTCTTATTAATAAACCAATACAAGAACTGAAGGTTTAATAGGTACTGAACATTTTTTCAATGGACCTTTGTATATTATGATCTTTAAGAATATAAAAAAATTCTAAAAATCAGAATTTGAACAAATTCATTATTACATTTAAAATATGGTTGTGAGCATTCTCGGTGAATCCACCCTGTATATTAATATATTATATATCTTTGTGTAATCTAGTTATTTTGTAACGTGTATGCATGTAGATATACATAAATAAACCCACTCGTATGCAGTCAGTCTGTATCGATTACTTTTAGCGCACCAGAGCTTCGTCGTACATCAAATCTAGATATTTTATTATTTGAAAATTATGTTTTAAATTATTGTATTGAATAAAACCTTGTTTTTTAATATTGTGTCATCTTAATCTGTAAATCTTACTGGAATAATGAGGTTAATTGTACTACCTTTCATGTCGCTGATCTTCAGCTGACTATACCATTAAAGGTAAGATAATATTATAACTATATCGAATTCAACAATATTTTATTTAAAAAAAACTAATTAGTAATAACTAACCATCTAAAAATAATACAACTCGTGTTACGATGCGCAAATGTTCCATAAAATTGTATAATCCATTCATTTTTGATTAATTATTTCTTCATTGTTAATCTAATTTTTTTATATTTGTCCGTATTTTTAATAGCATATAAAATATTGCAATCGTGTTAAGACCTCCAAGCCCTGGACTTATTAAAAATTCAGTTTAAAATGCAAAATGTATAGGAAATACCAATATCAAGTAGTTGTGAACCAGCATATTAATATGAGTATAAAGATCAACTTATGTGGAGATTTTTAAAGTATTATAGGTACCAAAATTACGCATGTAAGTGGTAAGTAATTTAAAAAGCTAGATAAATAGATATTACTTATTAGTAACAAAGTGTTGTTTTTAGAGATGATCAATAGTAACACTGGAAACGAATGATGCCATGATGGTACTATAATATTTGGTTATCAAGTGGTTTTAGCATCGGCCTCCATCTGTAGTTCAGTCGTTTGATCTCCAGTAGGCAATTATATGAATCTGTAGTTACAGATCCATCTGGAGAAAAAGTAGGCAATCTCAAATTGATTATTGTTATATTTTAGTATAAGAAAGGGGAAATAGAAATATGCTGGTCAGTAGTTATGTAGCGGAAGCCTCAGAATCTAAAAATAGTTGAAGTCTTTACTCTTCTTAATAATATTATCTTAAATGTAAGTTTTTTCTATAAACATGCTTTAATTGTAAATTAATTTATATTTCATAAATATATGTATAAACATTTTTTAAGGTAAAGATTACATAATATTGAGGCATTACATTTTCATAAGTCAGATAAGCATATTACTGTTCCGCAAGACATCCGGACTAAATCTAGACAATAAATATTAGTTTACATAAAGTTTTACTCTGTTATAATTTATTTATATTTCTAATATTTAGAAGAGAAGAAAATAAAATGTCTCATGGTATGTTATTGGTTTTCCAATTCCTGTTGTTGAATGATGATTTATTTATATTTCTAATATTTTATTGATTTAATTTAAATAGGTTATTTTAGCGGTGAGTGGCAATGGTTTGAACTTTTGAAGTATTGGTATGATTCATATATGAACCGATTGCTGATTGGACCAGATGTGATAACACTCCGCAATAAAGCTACTCTAACTTTTGTGTGTGCTATGAGTCGTGGGTACTTGGTAGTGTTTTTAAAACAACTCTCAGTAGTCTATTGATGTGTTAGATTTATTTTCAGAATCAACTCGTCGGAAACCATCCGCTAACATGTTAGTAAGACGAAAAGATTTAGGAGTTGATGTAATAAATAATTATCTATATGCCGCAAGCTATATGTTGAAACTAAGGTCAGCGATATTGGTGCGGTATTAAAAGTACCTTGTATTTAAATAGTGCAGAAGTTTTTGACTGCAACTAGTATAGGTACTGAAGAATGGCGTCTGGTATCCATACACCATTTTTTAGTACCGTGGTCAAAAACTACTGCACTATTAAATACTAGGTAATTTCAATACCAATGCCGCCAAACTTAGTTTCAACATATAATTTACGGCGTATAGATAATTAATTATTATCACATCGACCCCTAATTTTTTTCGTTTAACTAACATGTCAACAGTTAGTTTCCGACAAGGTGATTCTGAATATAAACGTAACAAATCTATAGCCATATAAGTATCATAGTAGCCAGTAGGTATAGTCGCCACTTATATTATCCCGTCTCCCGATAAATCGGGCTGATGGGTTTTTGTCTAGAATCAGGATTAAATGAAATCAAGCGAAATCCGGGATAAGGTATGTGTTTTTAGCGATTATATTTGATTGGGGTCTTATAATTTTGCACACATATCAATAAGTAAAAGCTATAGTATTTTTATTTGAATTTACAGTAATTCAGTGCACAATACATTGCGTGTCCAAATATCAATAAATTATTAGAATTATTGGTAAGTCATAAGTTATTTCTATTTTTAAATCAATTCTTTTGTAAAAAATATTGTTAGAAAAATTAATTTCAGTTTCCCCATGGATTCAGGTCAAATACACCCTTAAATAACAGATCATTATTCTAGAATCTTAAATATTAAGAATATACCTTAATTAATAAAAAACATAGTTATACCTAAAGTAGTAAAATATTTTTATTATTTACTAGCTGCCCGAACTTCCTCCGGAAGAAATTATTTTTTTTAAATTTAATTTAAAAACATAAGACTATTTTTTGGCTATACAAATAATACAACGATTATAAAAGAAAAAAAAAAAAGAAAAAAAAGAAACAGACATCGTTATCGGTGAATACATGAAAATAATAAAATTGGTAATTAGTTAATTATTATTATTATAATGAGGGTTCAAATTCAAAACCGGTTTCCTTCGTCTCCAAAATCAAATTAGATTCTTATATATATAGATTAACTAATGCAAATATTATTATTATAACCAGCAAAACCATCAGCCTTGTTTTTAAATATAATAATAAATAATATAACTCCGTTCATATCTTATGAGGATCGCGATCGCCTCACTCGTAAACTATTGTAGGTACATTCTGTAAGTGCCCAATAACTAAAAAGCCCCATTATATTTTTAGAGATTTGGTATGAACAAAAACATTGTTGATTACCTCTTCATGGGCCTCCACCCAAACAGGCGCAGATCTAGAAATCTGCAAAGGGGGGAGGTTACCTAAATTTTTTTCAGAAAAATACAATTATAACATAATCTAAGCACATAATAGATGTATAGATACAGCAGAATTATTACCAAGCATGCTCGCCCCATTTTTCTTCAATATTTCAATAATTCAACATTTGATTTTTAAATTTTTTAAATATACTTACAAAACAAATTTTCAAATTCTTGTGTCAATAAAAACTTCTCTTTTTCAAATACGAATCCACCTTTATAAATTATAACTGAATGATATGGTATCGAAATTCTAACTTCGGACACTAATGTAAAAATATTTTAATAAGTGGCTTATTCCGTTTATAGTATGTCGGAGGACAATTTGGCAGATATTATGGATCTGATGAGTTATATTCTGTTGAAGTTTACAGCCCCAACACCAATATCTGGAATTCATGCTACATGAATATAGGACATTGTTCTGAAGGAGTAGTAGCCATTGATATACGACCTTATTATTAACTTATTAGTTAGTATTTAGTGTACATGATTTTTTTGGTTTTTATAAATGCTTTCTTTTAACATATAATGTTTATCTTGTTTTTCTATTTATTTTACTATTTTTGAATGTTTTATTAAAAGGTTTTTGTGCGATTTAATTTGACTAAAATTAAAATGAACAAAGTATAAAATTAATTAAATAGCTAGTATATATTTTATAATATGTATAAAAGTGTAAAATACATAATACGAATTAGCAGATATATGTGCCAAACAGTCCATCTCATCCCCACACTCTCTAGTCCTCTGCTCATATACATTACAAGATTCTAAATATTTCATCTCTGAGTATATCCTTAAAAATTGGCAACACACCTGGTCAACCCTTCGAACCAAACTAAACGAAATCAAACCAAGCATTCTCCCATGGCCAACCATCCATCTTCCCAGACGCCAAGAAGTAATTCTTAATAGAATCAGAATTGGACACACATGGTTAACTCACAAACACCTAATGACCAAAACGGACCCCGAACCTTGTCTCACTTGTGGTGAAATTCCTTCAGTCAAACATATCATATGTTTCTGTCGAGAATTCAATGACACTAGAACCAAACTCAAGCTAGCTGACAACCTTCAAGAAGCACTAGGACCCGATCCAGACAACACCCAAAAAATATTCATTTTCTTAAAACTTACTAAATTATATAACCTAATCTAAATATGATCCTATATGATCCAAACTTGAATTGTATAACTCACCCTCCGCTTTATATGTATAAAAAGTAATATTCTTTATTTAAACACATACTTACACTATTCTAGTATAACAAAAGCCAATAACCAAAGTTGTTGCGGCTTATTAAAAAAAAAAAAAAAACATAATACTTTTTCTATTTGTTTCCAAATTTCAGTTAACATGATGTACTATGTATTAAGCACCCATTTGATTTAAATATAAATATTTTATTATATCTAACGACTAACATCTGATCTGAATTTATTATGGCCTTTATATTAAATAGTATTAATATTTATTCATGTTTTTAACAGGTAGGTTCGACCTAATACTGTTATTTCAACAAACCTGGTTTGATTTAAAAACTCAGATCATATTGTATGAATATAATTGAATGATAAACGGACAATTCAAAAGAATTGTTACTGGCAACTTGAAACTTTTACATTTGTTATAACATTTTACATATTACATACAATACCATTTTCAATAAGCTTATAAGCACGTGCCCAATTATACCAGCATACCACGAACCTATTCACACCATTCAACTGTGAATCAGTTCCTACTGAATTAAAAGCCAAAAGTTAACAATGATAATAAATAATTTAGGCACTGGGTGATCCAACAAACGCAAGACACTAATACACTATTGTTGTATAAAAAACTATTAATTTTGTAGAAAATATTTCTTTACATTATTGCAAGTTGTTTAAAAGCACCACTATTTTCCAAAAAAACTAATACTTTGTACAATTTTTATTGTTACCTATAAGTTTCTAATTTTGTTCCTTTTTTAATAATAATATACATTTTTAATTCTCTATTCCAATTATCCAATTTAATATATTTTTTGGACTTCTTAGATTTACAATAATTGAATTTTGGACGAATATTGTATTATGAGTAATAATAAGTATACTTATAACCAGTGGCGTACATTCAAATTTGCTCTGGGAGGGGTTTAAAAAAAATAACCAACACCTTCTCTTTAGAACTACCCATTTTTCTAACAATCAAACGCATTAAACGTATTAATATTAATAGGCAAAATAACAAAACAAATACAAAGGTTTACATAACTCATGGCAGTAAAATATTATTTAATATGCACATGCATATAAGAGTACAGAATATTATATATATTATATTATTAATTATTGATAATTTTTCAGCCATGATTACTATTTATTTTATCTTCAAAACCTAAAGTATATCGAATGACAATGATAATACAACATTATTATCTATATATTATGCTATAATATTATTGTTATCGACGATCGACGATAGACAACGTCGTCATTTCGGGAAAAATAAATACCAACACAAAAATCTAAAACTTCTGTTCTTACAAATACAATATAATAATATATTATACTAAATGTGTATGCATATTAACTTAACTGAGTTAGAAAAAAAACCTTTAACTCGCCCAGTATTGTGTATTTATAATTCATTTTAATATTTTAAATGTTTAATATTTAATGTTTTATTAATAAACAATTTTAATGTTATATACTCAAACTGATCTTATCTAAATATTGACCCATGGTTTATGGAGTTAAATTAACGTCAAAAATTTAAACATCTCCAACGGCAGAATAGAACAGAAATCAGAATGAACAAAATATTCATAATAATATTATTTAACGAAAATGTTCATTTTAGGATAGTGATATAAAAATAGAATCCATTTCACCGTATTATTGTCCTTTACACGAAATTCAACGATTATAACGCAATCAGTTTTTTCTCCGTTGTCCGATCGAGTCGGTCGAGATAACGACAGTATTAATGTGTATTTATGTCCGCACGCAACTGACTGTATACGATCAAAATTTGATGACATTTAATGTCTAGTTTGATTAACATACGGCACCCATAATTTTGTTATGAAATCTTTTTCCGTTGTTGCTAAAGTATAGTCGATAGTGTATTCTCAATACTCAATGGTCATATTATTTTGGCGTATGTTTGTGTACAGTGTACACGGATGATTAATACTAAGAAATTCATCAATAATATCAATTTTTTTATTTTTTTTTGTTCCTGGTGGGGGGAGGGGTTGAACCCTTAAACCCCCTCCGTATGTACGCCACTGCTTATAACTTATAAGTAATTAAAGTTTGGATAAGCGAGCAGTGGCAGTTTTGGCGGTGAGGTAAGTGAGGCGGTGCTTCACCTAAGATGTTAAATTAAATAATACTTCAAAATTATACTTCTCGGCTCACCTATTATAGCACATCATTTCGATAATAATTCTTAACGTATTTATTACTTTATTTGAGAAAAATTCCTCTTTACGAAGTTTAATAATAGATAATGAATTATGAATTGCCATTTATTATACATTATTATCATTTATCTGTAGACGTGTAGTACATAATTACGTGTTTATACTTTATTACCAAAAATAGCGATAAGCCGATAAGAAATGCACGAAATAATTATTACGTAAGCAAACGCTGGTATTTCAATTTTCCGCCTAATAACAACTCTCCTTTGAGTTGGTACTTGTTCACATACATTACACCCACGTCATGCGTATGTACACGACTGTTAAATAAGTAGAATTGCGCATGCGCAATGGTCATTAATCATTGTGACGCTCGATTTCCTAAAAAAAGATGCGGTATCGGGTATACTGGTATTATGGTCAGTCCGCAGTTGACCATCATAACCATAGATCTTATGAATACTACTAGGCAAGCAATGAGTGTATGTAAAGCGTAACAACATAGAGTGCGCATTTTGCTTACTCGATTTCCCCGAACAAATGGTAGTGTGGGATAGCAGGGCAAGATTTATAGATATTTAGATAATTATAATTTTTCGTAAGGATTTAGGATAGCCTACATCACTGTGAGATGTAGTTACACTGCTCGTAATGCTATTGTTACACACAGTTTTTATCTATAGTAGTATGAGCCACGAGGTCTGATAGTCATAACGTCATGATCAAAATTGAAAATACGTAATCAGTTGTTATTTTTACAGCCGGGAGTCGGGACAGCCCTAATTAAACCGTTGTAAACATGATATAATCATATCATGGTTGTAATATTATTTATATTTCTGTCTTGTTCGAATCGTCGCTTGTGTATTATGAAGGGGGGTTGATACATAAGTTGCCTCACCAAAAGAATACTACCAAACCGCCACTGTGAGCGAGCGGTATATTACTAAGTGTGTTACACAGGGTACCCACCCAAATTATTGCTCTAGTGCAGGGATGGCAAACCTTTTGAACACTGCGTGCCCAAAATTAGTAATAACCTTTTTTTTTTTTTTGCCGTGAAAAAAATATTAAAAATATTATAATTTGTTATACTATAATTTAATTGTATAATTAATGTATTAGTATAAAAAGGATAGTTTATAGGTTATTATAGGTCCTAAAATATTCGCTGAAGCTATGCGAAAGCAGTTCCCGCGGCGTCGTCGATTCCTAAATTTTCGCTTGCCCACAAAATCTTTTCGCGTGCCATGGATTTGCCATCCCTGCTCTAGTGAGATCACACAGTTACTTACACCTGAGAGGTCTTAAGTTGTGTTTGAGGTATATAACTAAAAAAATACAGTTGTCAAATTTATTTTTATTTTTAATCCCCTTGAGATTCGAGTTATCAAAACTTGTCTAAGTATATCTATTAATAATTCAATTTTGATCTGGTCAACCATTAAAATTAGGTGTAGTATGAAATTATAAGTTAGTAACCATTAAGTGTGTGTTGATTAAATAAGCCATGCATTGAAATAGGCTTGCTCAAATATTAGGGTTATGTTAGGGGCTGCTATCGATTAAGCAAATTCAAAAAAAATCATTATTCAATAAAATTACATTTATGATACTAATACCAGTAATACCTACCTAAAACCATAATGCTTTATATTGGTCAACTAACAATTCTCTTTATTGAAATTTCATTTAAAAAGAATTATCATCAATTTTAGGTGATAGTTAAAAATTGTAAGTATATTTTAAGTATGTATTATTATTTATATTTTCATCGAAACCGAGACGAGGCAGCTCAGAGCCGCTGCCTGGACGACTGATGCAGAATGCCGATGAACCAAACGCTGTGTATTGCCTATAAAATATAAATTATAATATTTAGGTATGATATTATATCTTCGGATTATAAGTTTGTAAAATCGTATGAATTTAATTTTCAGCAATTTTTTTTTTAAGTAGGTATAGGTAAGTTTCAAAATTATGACGAAATTATTGGACATACTTTAATAACTTTATATTAATTTATAAGGACCAGGAGAGCTAAGATTTTCTACGTTAACTTTTTTGGAGGGAACTAAAGCACCTCATTGCTATGTTGGCATGTTGCTTCGTTCTATTGGATACTGCTCAATGAATTAATATCAACACTTATCAAAAATGTCAAGGGGGGAATAATCATCGTTTGACAAACAACCCCCTCACCCGTATAATTACGTCGTTGGTATATTATGTTTGTATAAATTAATAGTTTAATAATATTGTTATTTGAGTAGACACTGTAATCAATTGAATGTCGTACAGAACAATATAATTTATTATAACTACCTAGTAGGTACCTACGTAGCAGCTTTTATATACTGGACATTAGCCGTATTGACCATGTGACATGTCTGTTTATTAAAGACAATACCTCAGAAGTGTAAGTTAAAAACATCGTTTATAATATTACCCATAGTAGTATTGGTTTGAAGACAATTAACAGTATTGGCGGTATTATTGGTAACCACTGACGTACTACAATAATAGGTACCACTAATGGCCTCAAAAAATTGCGACGGACGAAAAACTAGCTATCATAATATTTAATATTGTTTATCGAGCTCCTATATAATATAAAGAGAATTAAGAAAATTCTAAACTTATGTAGTGACTATATTATTTTATGCGCAAGTGTACAACGTGACTATAATAGATTCGTATTATAATTTTATTGATTTTGTGTTAATTTTTTTCATACTTAAATGTAAAATATATTATATTTTTGATTCGTAAATATTATAATATACTTACCTAGGATACATATTATACTATAATTTTGGAAAAATTACCGAGTATTGTACTTTAATTGTAATATATATTAAGTCCATGGATTAAAAATATTCTGTGATTATATAGTATAATTATTCTATGTTAAAAATAACTATTTGCAGCGTGGACAGGGATACTTATATTTTTTGAGACATCTTGTTATTTTCCATCGTAAATATTTTTCTGCTGTTTTGCTATTAATTACAACTAATAATATATTTTACTGGATTAGAAAACGATATAGGTACCGATTTAATTCGGTTAGTCGTTTCAGTTTACATTATGGCTACAAACGGAAAGTATCAAAACATAAGTAAGTGTAATCTAAATCTAATTAAGTATTTATTTTACACATAATATCCGATAATGATTAACAAACTTAACTAGGTAGTAGGTTCTTATATAGTTATATTATAAACTCAAACAAATTAAATTTACTTAATTATTTATTTACTAAATACTTTAAGTATTTTAATACTTTGAGATCCTAACTTTCAATTTGAGATCATCTATTTATTAGTTATGTCACTTATGTAGAATGTTAATTTTAACTTTTCTTGGAAAACCATTATTTTTTAAGTTTAAAACTATTCATGTGCAATTTATACTTTCATATTTATTACATTTTGATTCCAATAATGCCATTGTTAAGCTCCATCTTCCTATTATATATTTTAGTTTATATTTAAATACTGTATATCTAGGATATTATATAGGTAACGGGGTAACTATAAGCTGTCCATCCAGGCGCTGGCGTTGTTCATGACAAAATTATCATTATTAGTAACTGTATAGATTATAACTACTGGCAACCCTATAAACAAATTTTATTTATTTTTCGTGAGCTGAAACAAATGCATGTGTGAACCACTCTTTTGTTATCTATAGGGGTTGAGCTAGACTTACAACCTTCTCCGTGATATACTGTAAAAAAACGACATACAAACGACTATTGGATGAGTGATTTCTAAGATTATCATTGGCGTCAAATATTCTCATTTGCATATTTATAAAACTAGTTGATCCCGTGAATTTCGTTGCCATTAAAAATGCCAATTCTATATTATGGATAGATGGCGTACCACTATTGTATTTTTTTCACCTGTATTTCTTACTTTGTTGGTGGATTTTTCTACAATTATTGTCTTTCATACAAACCTTGTCCCGACAATTACGAACACAAAAAAATATATAAGCCCATCGGTCAAGTCGTTTCGGAGTTTATATCGAACAAAAAAAGTGACTTCATTTTATACTATATATGTTGATGATAAATTGAGATATATATATATGTATAAATAGAGTATATAGTGTAAATGTGTAATAGTGTATTGTATACTTATTTCATAATTCATTTTTTAGGTATTCAACCTTTGAAACTTCCGCGGACTTCTAAAACCATATTTGAGGTACCTATTAAACTATTCACTTTATTTTGTTACAATATAATATGTTATATATATTTTAAATAAAATGTTACAACGGTACACGACTACACGAGTAACACTCCAAAATTACTAACTTCAAGAAAATTGTTTCATGAACGTCTTTATTCTTATCTTTTTATTAGCAATTGAGATTTATTATAGTTGCCTAGAGAAAACTTGAGTGAGGCTGAACTCGTTGGAAAATCGACTTCCGATAGAACCAAACGACGTGTGGCCCACGAAGCGTGGTTTCCTGTACCGGTAATCGCTAGGCCTGTAGTTCCGGTACAGGCGGTTGCTCAGCCGATTCCGAAAAAAAAGCATGTCTTAAAGAAGGAAGTATGTATAAATTTCCTATTATTAATAATAATGTACCATGTACTCCGTGTCTCCATGGCATCAACGTAAAGCACATGATTTATTATACATTTATACACATAGTTTATCTATATTTATACACCTATATGGCTATATGGCTATATTTATATAATACATTTAATGACCCGATTAAGAATAATATAAAATTATTACTAGGTACCGTAGTTACGTACTTACCTACAACCTGCCTTATATGTATGTGTTATGTGTAATATTGTACATTGTACTGGCAATGATTATTTTTTTTTGAACAACAACATTACAAAAACACATTTATGGCTCGACAAGGAATCTTATATTAATTTGTATAGTAATAATGTGTTTCTAAGGTAATATTATTTCATTTGCTATAAAATAATCTAAATGTTGGTGTCTATAAGTAGGTACTTCACTAGCTATAGATTTGTTTCTATAAATTTAACAATTAACTACCTACCGTATTATAAATTCAAATATACTATAGGTATACCTAAACCTTAACTCGTGTTTGTGACATTAAACATTTTAGTATCCAAACCTATAGCTTTATCTATAGAATTATTACCATAATTTACTTTAGACTATTATATATAATTTTTAAAACTAGTAAACTAGTAATTTCCTTTCCTCCGAACTTGGTTTTTCTTCATATGATCATTATAGATGTGATCGCGCGTGACTATAAATACCGCTGTTAGCCTAGGGTCTTCCTCCCTTTAATTCTGGCTTGATCATAAGATCTACGAGCTAACAACTATCCAGTGTTGGGTAAATTACTTTTGATAAGAAACTAATTAGTAATTACGTTACCTACTTATTATATTAAATATTTTTATTTAAATTACATTCGCGTTACCCGACATTATTTTTATCACGTTATGTTACTTTTTCATTCAAAAAGTAATGCGTAATGAATTGTTACTTTTTCAAAATTTAACGACAAATTCAGTCCATAACGAATATAATAAGAAGTAGGTATACTGTTAATTATTATATATAAATTGTATAGTAGTATGTGTAATACATTAAATATTAATTATGTATGTACACTATATTGATAATGGATGGATGTAATACGGATGAATAAAATGCGTAAAATACCTACATATTTTATAATATTCACCATTATTATCTAACATTTTCAGAATAGTAAATACATTTTACCGATTTTTAATTTTTCTCGAATATCTTAACCTTTAGTTTATGTCAAGGACTCTACATTCATAACTTATTTTAATAACGTGGAAAATAACACGTTGCTCCATAGAAATTACTTCTATAAGAAATTTCGTTACAATTACGTTAATTTAAATAATATATAATCAAATTACTACAGCGTTACTGGCTACTACAATAGTAATTTGTATTCTTCGTTACGTTACTACCCAACACTGAAACTAACAACTAAGTTCATGATCAAAACAATATATCATGAAATAACAAAGATATATAAACTATAAAATATCTACCTTATGAGTTATGAAAAGTTATATGATTTCAACCAATAAAATAAAGTGGTGGTTGTAATGTCAGGTGCAGCAGAGGCTGCAGAGGCTGCAGAGGCTGCACCTATAGGACCGCCTATGCTAGGTACCTATGTATATGATTTTCAATGAGAAATAAAATATTCATTTTTCATTTTTAGAGTTTCTCGAGTATAAAACCCTGCAATGTAAGACAAATTAACGAGACGGTTGATTTGGATTCAAGAGCCCAACATAGCAAGTCAGCACGTTCTGGTATAAAAGTAGCAATAATATATTAATAATATATATATTCATACGTTTTTCATTAAATATGATAACAATTAAAGAAATTGGAGAAGTCTTAAATCGCTCTGATGTATAGTAGGTTCGACCACAGAATGGTTCGACTACCTAGGTTGGTACCATGATAAGATAACAAAACGGTATTTATTTAACTTTTTTGTCACTTCATCATGGAAGGTAGTAGGTACTAAGGTACTTACTACTTACCTCGTCAGTCGTCATGGATGAGTAGGGCATTAAGTAATTTCTATAATTATTTAGTTACAATTATATAGTTATTTATTATTTAATAGTTGCAACACTAAAGTAGGTAATAAATGTGTTAAAATTGAACTCAAAGATAAATCACAGGCCTATAGAAGTAACTTATTGAACATGGATGAGAAAAAAATATTTTTAAGTGGATACATTCTGTCAGCCTCTATTTCTAAGGATATTTTATTAATTTATATTTTTATTAGTTAGGTATTTTAATTTTTAGGTAGCAGTGACGCAAATTATTTTTTTTGTGCAGGGTAAACCTAGTATTAAATCTGCCAGCCCCTCCCAATGCATCATTATAAATTATCGACAATAATCATCTATTCATCAACAAACCCAAACATGTTTATATTTACTACATAGGCACCTACTTGATCTATGAGTTTATTATATATTAGGGTACCTAGGTATTGAATATAATAATTAATTGAGTTATAAGTACGAAATACCTATATAATATAACCTCTACCAGCTACTATTTATAGGATCCACCATATATACACACATACCTAGTACCTACCACCAAATTATTTAGGAGGGGGAGAGGGTGACAAGTATCTCCATGCTCTCGGGAGCTTTGAAACTTGTTAATTTAATTAACATTTTATTTTTTTAAGTACCAAATCTACCTAGATCACAATTGTAAGTTCTTTTTTCATTTTTTTTTTTTGCTCTTTAAACAATTACATCTATGTTTTATATAGGTAATATTAATACATTTTGTAATATTTAAATATTTAACTCTCAACTTCCACCACAAGCTCCTGTTTAAAGGAGTATCTACATACAATAACAATTTGATTGTTAAAAAAAAGCCAATTTAACTTAAATAGACTACATTTTTTCGATCATAATTTAAATTTTTAAATTGTTTAGAGTAATACTTTGTTGTAAATTGTTTTGGAGTAATACTATGTTGTAAATTATAATATATTATAAATAATCAATATATTATGTTCATACAAATGAATCATATTATATAATACCTAATGGTTATTACCTATACAAACTAGAAGTAATATATCTTCATTCTTGACTGACTTCTTGACACAACTTTGTAATTTATATAATTTTTAAGTGTTTTTGAAACACTTTGTTCATTCGTAATATATATTTTCTAGGAGTTGACGATAAGGTTAAAGCAAACAAGAGAAACTTAGGAGACTTAGACTTTGTCGAAGGGACGAATAAGAAGCAAAAAAAAGCCAAAGTTGAGAAGTCAAAACATAAAGACATAAAACATGGAAAAAAATCACGAACACGTAAAGGTATAAAAAAATTGTTCCCAAAATTCCCATTTTGCATCTCATTCCCCCACAAAAACAATTTTCACCTTTTGCATGTGTCAATGAGTCATATTCCCAGTCCCAAATACTGAATTATCATACAAATACATGCATATTACTTGCTGAATATTAGGGTTAAATACATTTGGTATTTCATATTATTTCAATTTGACGGGGAGGGCTGGACCATAAAAAAAATCGAAAATTTATTCTTGCGTTCAAGAGAATGATCATCAACATTCACATTGCATATTTTGGGAATAATTATACTCATAATATTAGTGTAACAAATTTTTGAATATCAAATTATTTCACTTTTTTGGAGGAGTAGAACTTTTTAAAAACATCTTAAGTATGCAGATATAGCTAAAACTACATTTTGTAGTTAGTATGGTAATGTCTTGAATCAAGTTTGTATCTCATTAATTTTTAATTCAGAGATGAAATTCATAGATATGTAGAATCATTAAGTTCATAACTTTGAGTATAATGATTAATTTGCAAGTATCTATATTATTATATATTATTTACAATAAGTTAAGATATTTAATCAATTTTTAAAAACAAGGTTTGTTGTTGTTGAAAATGTCTTACTAAATTAAAAAAAACATAAAATGCTTCACTTTTGATTTAGTTTTTAATATTTAACCTGAAATAGTAAGTAGTGTAACTTGTGAATAGGTTTAAATATTTAATGATACCTATTTAATTGTAAATGTCTTCTTAAATTTGTATTATAATAATTTGTCAATTAGGTACCTACAATACTTAATAAGCATCATTACAGAAAGCATATATTATACTATTTTAAATTATATTTTTATAGAAATATGCTCCAAAATATCTGCAGGCAAAGCTGGCTTGAAAAAATTAACATATTAAAAATTAAAAAACATTAAAATAAATAAAATTATTTTAATAAAACAGAAAAATAAATCAAATACCTTGCTAAATATTTGTTTTAGGTTTAATAATATACATGTCTAAAATGTTTTTAAAGTACTTATGCCATTGTCAGTAGCCATATTTTATTATGTATATTATGTAAAATATAATATATATTCTTTTACATTTAGCCTAATGGGAACACAAAGAGAAATTTGTTTGCCCAATGGTACCAACAAACTGTACAATCAGGCATTAGCCGTGTGACAATATTGTTCCATCAGATCTAAGTTTCAGATGAATATTACTTAAGTACTTGATTATGCAAATAAAGTATAAATTGTTAACTAAATATTTATATGTTGTATATTTGTACAGAGTATTCTATTCTGCCAAGCACATTTATTTAGATAAAGATTTCTTTCATTAACAGTGTGGTAAATCTAAACCACCAGTACAAAATAATAAATATTATAATATATTATATGCAAAGCAAATATCTGACTTGGGAGCTTCTGGGCTAATTACAGTGACAAGAATAAAATTGTAATTTAGTTTTATAAAAATTATTTTTAATGAGTTACTGTAAAAAAAAAAAAATATTAAGATTTGTAAAAAAGAAATCTAAGTGTACAAATACAAATTGATGTATCATTGAACGTTCAAGAGGATAGCACACATGTGCAAAATTCCAGGGATAGGTATGAAACTCAGATCTCGATACAGGTCTGTAAAAAACTTCTAATTTGATACATAAAAATTCTTAGAAATCTTGTATTTTTAATGTGAGATAAAAATATTTCAGTGATTTACTAAGCAGTACATTTTTAGCTAAATAATAAATAACAATAAAAAACATAAATTTAATATTTCCTAGTTTCTAAGGTTAGGTTAATTTTTTAACATAAACCTTTCTGAGACTAAGTAGTTAATATGAGATTTGTTTTTCATAATGTTTGCTTTGCAATAATCCATCATTTCCAATTCGTCTTTAACTTCAGTTGTCAGTTTTTCCAATAACATAACCATTGGCTTCATTTTTTCTTCAACTACCCTGTTAAAATTGTATTCAATCAGTTATAATAAAATACATTTAAAAGTTAATTTATAGTTTACTGCTGTTGTAAATCAAGCTTTTCATTAGTTTTTTAAGTAAAATTTTTCCAGTAGTTCAACTCTCGATTCATTTGATCGATATTTTCTTGCATATTGTTGATAAGTTTACTCAATGGATTTGCAGACTTTGTGATGCCTTGAATAAATTGCCGTATTGTTTCCATTTCTTTTGTTAACATCTCTTGATCCTTAGCACTTTTTCCTTCCCGTTCCTAAAATAAAAATGTTAAGATACATGATAATTTTTTTAATCTTTCATAGACAGAAGTTTGTCACAATTTAAGAGGTTGATATTAAAAAAACTCAATTGCACACATAGGCGAGTACACAATTTTGTACCGGATGCAGCACACAATTTTGATGGTTCGATCGAAAAATAAGCTGCTCACATTGCACACTTAAAGACGATGACAAACACCTAACTGTGATTTATTTTAGACATCATCTATTATTCTATTATACTTACAGAGTGTGTAATATTTATGTGTGTTATATTAGCATTTGTGAACTATAACTTACAGATAAGAAAGTTTTAAATTTTAACTAACTTTTTGGTAATATTTTTATTTGAGCTCCAATTATATTTTAATTGAAAGTTACTATGTAACTAGTAGTGCCCGCCTAGTATATTTGAGTGGACTAATTTGAAATTTCTTTGTTTAAATGTTTAAAGAGGGCTTAGTCCTCTCAAGTCTCGACACCCAATTTTCACTCAAGATTTAAGAACCAATAAACTTCAATATTTAAACATACTATTTTTGAAGAATCTGTCTTTTTTTTAATATTAAATTCCATTTGTGTCTGAAGTATTTGTGATACAAGATGACCTTGTCCATCTTCCTAAAAATATCATAAATTCAATTATTATTAGAAAATGAATCAACCATAATTATTATAAAAATAGTAATATTACTTGGGTATAAGAATCATAAGCTGACTTATTGTCATTTAATACTTCAATTGTAACAATATTGTCATCAATGTCATTTATTTTGTCATCGTTTTTTGAAAAAAAACTGTCAGAATGTTTAGGTATCCTAAAACACATCAAATTAAATTTATTTAACTAATTAAAATGTTAATATTTACTCTGTAAATGTATTTGATTGAGGACGACGATTAGGTGCAGGTGGTCTTGAACTTTTTGGCCTTAATGGTTTACTAATATTATGAGTGTCACTTAATTTCCGAAGTGGATTCTCTTCTGGATTAGTTTTTTCTATTGATTCAGAATCTTTTGTTTCTGGTTTGGATTTGATTGCTGATTGTAATTTGTTTTCATTAAGTTCTCTAAATCATACAGTAATATTTTAATAACTATGAAAATATAATGGAAAAGTTTGTGAATTACTCAGTTGTAACAGAATTATCCACAATATTCTTTATTTCTTCATTAACTGGTTTAACACAGAATTCTCCATCAGATTTTGTTATTGTATCCATCTGTACACTAACAGGTTCATCGTTTTTAACCACTGACGATTCCACACTATCAGATTTTTGTAATTTCTTTTGAAAATCATGATCAATATTTTCTTTTACTTTTTTTTCCAGTGATTTGGTTTTTTCTAACAGTTTTGACTTGTTTTGATTGTAAATTTTTGTAGCTTCTGGTTTTTTAGTTTTTGTATTGGTTGAAATTTGTTCCTTAACTTCTTTATTCTAGAAAAGAAATAAAAGTATGTTAAGGTAATAATAGTAATTATAGTTATAATCGTGGGCACAATTTGGGTTTGGGGAGGGGGAAGAGGCTAAGAAGAAGATATTAAGTACCACTAAATATTTAAGATTCTAGTTTTAGTGTTATCATTGGATAATAATTTTTAATCCCAATGTTCATAGTAATTAATAGCATAAAACCAAAAGATGTTTGTCAAGTTGTACCTATGGTCATCACGAGGATGTCAGCAGCCAGCTACTTGTTGTATCTTTCTTGCCCACTCCCAATATATCAAATTAAAATTAAAATATCATAAAAAAAGCAAATGCAGCGACATAGCTAATGTTTTAAACTTAAAGTTTGAAAATAGGTAAACTAACACAGGGTTGATTCTGCTAAACATAAATTTGCTTTGTAGTAGGTGGGTCAGAGAGAAAACAAATAGTACGCTGACTTTGTGATAAAATATGATAAAATATATTATACCTTTGTTTCTATTCCAAAAACAATTGCTAGGAGCAACTCCAAGGTCTTTGTTACTTCAAGTCCTGCAACAATTTTAGAGGGTCTTGCTGATATGGTTTTACTCGTTGTTGATTCTGGAACAAATATTCAAAATATTGTTATTTAAATTGTAATATTATGTAATTAAGGGAGCAGTGTTATATAAATATTAGTTAGGTATTTGAAAATGCAGTAGGTATGTTCAAATTTAAAATAAGATTAGAATATATATTTTTTCTCAATAAATTCAAAATATTCAATAGGCATACCATTTTGATGATAAATATTATCTGATTCTCAATTAATGAAAATACATTTACTTTAATTTTTCTTATACAACTTACGTATAGCAGTTATAAGCTTTTCTAAAAATTTGATCTTTGTTTCTTTTGTAGTAACATTTGTAGATATAATTTCTTCATCAGTGAAAACATCTGTTAAATAACCTGTGCTCTGGATAACCTGAAAAGTTAAAATAATCTACATAGATTTTTGAAATACTTCAAATCCCTCGACAATGGGTACCTATTACATTATTTAATATATCCCTAGTATGATATCTTTTTATTTAGTGATCTGTGCCTTGTTGTATTAAAATTATAATATAATATTATTAATATTAATTGTTGTATTTTTTATAAAGAATACATAGGTGTAATTATGATGGTATAGTTGAATTCCCTATTGTCGCCACAAGCAAAGCTTAAAGGTGATTGTTATTTTAAAATCAATACATTTTAATTAAATAAATAAAAAATACCTGCAATTTGAATATCACTAATTTACTATGAAAATAATAATCATAGTACCTAAACAACTTGTGGTACAAAAAAAATGTATTAAAAATAATATACTTAATCAAAAAAGAAAAACTGTTTAAATAATGTAATAGAAACCATTGATATTTATCAATTCCTAACTAGTAAGAACCATCATAAGCATAGACCTATTAACAACTACTGTTTACAAACTAATTAGTATTTGTTAATAGGTCTGTAATCATAAGTAATATTTCAAATAACACACATTTATTGTTCGATCAAAACATCAAGTATACTAATGTTGATCGTTTTGTTTTTAGTTACACTTAAATAATTAATACTTACATTTGTAACAATATCATGAAGAAACTTAAATGGTGGTTTATTTAGTAGTTTTTCTGTTAGCTGTGGCTTATTTATATACTTTGATAGAGATAATTGCACTCGTTTTACAAGTTCTTTATTCATGGAATCAGTCATACCTATTAATTACTAATAGGTACCTATGTTGTATGTGTCTATTAAATTGTCAGACTACTGCTAAATTTAGCCACTTATTTTAAATTAAAAACAAAATCATTTTAATGTTTTGTTATTTAAAAACTCTTATTAAATTAAAACAAACTTAAAAAATAACTTAAGTCAATAATTCATAATGATAATAGTATAGGTGATTGGACATATTTTGATAAGAATATTGTAGTTATATTATTGACAAAACTGTCATGACAAGGGGTGTGATAAAATACCCTTACCAAGTGGCAAGTTAATCAAGGTGGACACAGCCGGGACAGGTATTTAATAAATTATAAATCCACATTGGTCCTTGATACTTGATGAGAATATGTGATTCATACATTACAATAATTTATAATCATAAATAAATTAATGATAGAAGTAAAGAACATGAATATAATATAATCATTTTTATGTGCATTGAGCAAAATTAGATAATGTGCTGAAGTAGTGAAGTTTAAAAATGATGAGCAATTATTAGGTATTTATTATAAAATTAACATTGCAATTTTAATCTTTCCTTTTTAAATTTCTTTAACATTTTACTGAACATATCTCTCGCAGATCTTTGATTTGAAACAAATGATTCCTTTTTGTCAATCTGGCTCTTGTTTTTGTTATTCATTTGACGAATAAATATTTTTACTGTACTTTTCGATGTAACAATAGAATTTCTTGTTTTCTCATCACATTCATTTTTAAAATTGTCTGTTACTAAAGTTTTTGAAGTATTGGTATGGTTTATACTTTTACAATCATTATTATTACATTTTTTCTTTCTCTTATGTTTTTTCTTAGATTTTTTTGGCATTTCAGTTAGATCTTTGTTATTTTCTTTTTCTTTATTAGGATAGTAATTTACATGTACAACAACTAATGCTCTATTGTACTGGTTGATATTTTCAGATGTATTTATTTCTTCAGAATGTTTATTGATTAACAATGGTTTATTTGTTTTAAGGTTATCCATTAAATTATGTGTCTTTAACGCTTTACAAAAATTCATTAATGAACATGGTTTATAATCTGTATAAGATGGATTATATTGGTCATTTATGTCTAACCGCTGAGCACAATATTCTTCTTTGGTAATCAAGTTGTGATTAAGGGCATATTTCAAATGGTTAAATCGTAAATGAATTGCATGGTGATCAATAATACCTCGGTTGTATAAATTGTTCCAGTATTCAAAGCTTTTGCCCACAATACTGTAAACAAAATTGAAAATTATACAACTACAATATGTAGAGAATTCCATAAACATGTTTATACAAAATATAATACTTATTAATAGGCATATATTATAAGTACTAAAGTACATTATTTGAATATAATATTCATAGGCCCAAATAAAGGGGGTGGGTGGCTAACCTCTCAAAAAACAAACAGCTTTACTATATAATATATTGGAATTCTCAGTATATCTGGGCTTCAGCCCCTCATCCCCAGCCCAAATATAAAATTGTCAAACACTATTTGAGCCTATGAATTAATTTTATAATATATAATATGTATGTTACCTTTCGCTATGAGCTACTTTGTCCATAGTGATAAAACTATAGTTTGTATACAATCATAAAAATCTAAAAAATATTTTCTATAATAATTAATACCTAGTGTAAGCTAAGAACAAAATTTGTTCTGAATTGTTAAATTTTTTAAATGACAAATATAATAAAAATAATTTAATGAAGATACAGAAGCAGAATGGCTATAATCTATAACAATATGACGGAGATCGGTATTCACTATTTAAAAATTAAAAATTAAAATTAAAAGCATAAACCATAAAAATGTATAAAAATTTTAATAGGCATTGTACATTTGTAAATAATATGTAAATAATTCTAATTTGTAATAAACTAATAACTAATAACGAAAATTCAAGGGGATAAAACACTCAAACAGAGATAAGAGCATAGAGTAAATAATGTGATAAGATCTGATTATAAAGATAATAATGTTCAACGGTCTTTATCATTTGATAACCCTTCTCCTTTTTCTTATTCTCTTTTTTTTGACGAAATTGGATTTTTCGCGTTATCTGTTGTGGTCATTTTTGCTTGGGATCTATTAGGTGTGACGATTTTTTAAATTTTTTTTGCGGTATCGAGCTCACTGCCGTTTTTCTTATTGTTTCTCGTTATTCTTTCTAATTACTTTCGTCACTTCGTGTGTTCAGTGTCGGACTTATCGTTGACTGTAATCGTGTTGAAACAAAAGGTGTTTGTGTGAGCTACCTATACCGTTGTAATGGATTTGTTTTCCGCCGAAGTTAACGCTGTTGTTGTTGTGCGTAATCGTCTTCGACGCAGTGCCTCAAATTAAAAGTACTACCTACTCACTTGTTGTCATGAAGCTTTATTTTATGGGACAATTTTAACTTTCATATCAAAGGTATTGCACAAGATTCATTAAATATACATTTGTAGTGTTACTATTAGATTTAATTTATAACAAAATATCCATCAACTGGTTGAATAATATCAAATAATTAATGATGTCACATGATACATTTTTTTTTCAGTAATAATATTAATGTAAACAATTATAAATTTAGGTAGGTAGCTTATATTAAACTAGATATTAATTAATACTTATAAGATTAAATAGATTAATATTTTTATTGTTTTTTTTGCAAATAAGTTTCAGCATACCCTCGAGCATACCCGTGTTGAAAAAATGTATTATAATTTTTTTTTCGATATTTTTTCATATAGGTAAAGTAGCATTGTTTCACAGACTCATATAACTTTTCTAATACTTACATAAAGCATATTTCATATTTGTTCTTAGTTGGTACCTAATTATTGACTTTCAAAGTTTTTACTTTCTGTTGTTTTATTATTAAATAACTTAAATATTTTAAATTTAATTAAATAAAAAAACTGTTTTCTTAAAAATAATTTTTTTAATATTAATTTTACAACTATTTTTATAATATATTGAACCTAGTAATATTTGTTATAATCACGGGATATCATAAAAGTTGAAACATTATTATTTTTAATTACTATGCATTGAATGATTTTAAAGTCCTTAACACATTGATTGCCATGTGATCACTGGCGTCTGCACCTGTCATGATTTAAAAATATTTTTACAGACACCATTGTTCACACTTTGTCCTTACGCCATATTGACTGTCATAATCATTGATTTTTGAATGATGATGTAGAGGAGAAAATTTCACATTGAATGATTTATTAGTTGCCTTAAACAGTATGCTTTATAGATACACATAAAAAATCATCAAATATTACTACCTATATTATAAATAAAAAACTATTGAATTAATTTATGGAATGACATCGAAAATAGAAGGTGGCCCTGTAGGATAAACAGCAATGCCACCTATGGCAGTAAATGTTTTAATTACTAACAGTGAAGACTAAAATTTTATTTGGTAGAAATATCATACTAATCATATATATTCTAATTATGTCTACTGACAGATTGTATATTTCAACTTGAACAATAAAAAAATAAAATAAAAAAAGGTTATATCATACCATGTACCTACTGAAATTAAGTTGAGTACCTTTTAATTTATATTTTCCATATATAATGTTTAAAGATAATTTAAAAGTCTGTCATTATACCTACGCAAACTTATTAAAAGTTATGAAATATCTTGATTGAATAAAATGTGAACATTGACTTAAAGTATTATATACTATAAATTCAAATCAATAAATGCACAAACAACTAGTTTCAATGCTAAAATGTTGTCATTCATTTTTAATTTGTAGCCAGCACTACACATTTCCTGCTTAACAAATACAATGACCTGTTAAATTAGGTTACAGAATAGTCAAAACACATTTGTTTTTTGTTACCATGTTAATATTATTATTTTAGTATTAATTTAGCAGAACACTGTAAATTTTTTAAAATTGTATTTTATTAACGTAGGTAGGTATCAATCAATACAACACTGTGTTATTAATAAAAAATAAAACCCGAAATTCTCAATAATTTAGTAAGATGTACCCATCTGGATGCGTAGGGTTGGCTAAATCCTTTGTTTAAATTATACATACAGGTGTTAAATAGGTATACTTCATACTTTATTGTATATTTAAATACATTTAAATGAAAGTATAAACTATTTTTATTATTATGAAATAAAAATATTAATAGTAATTAAAAGTGTATTCAAGCAATTAAATAGCGACTAAAAATTAATTAATTTTACTTTGTTAAATTATAATGTAAGCAGTTAGTTTCCATAGCAGTAACTTTTAAGTCAATATTTAAATTGTTCTTGTATTTTAGTAACCTATTCATTTCTGTGATGTATTAATTATTAATTAGTTTATATTCTCTTAACTTCTCTAGTTGTACCTAATCTATGCCTTTACCTAAATGCATTACTTAATTATTTTGTATAATTCAATTAAGTATTACTTTTTTTATTATATTAGATACCTAAGTGTGGAGATTTAAATCTAGATAAATATAGCTTTAAAATAATTAAACAATTAGCCAATTAGGTACCTTTTATATTTTAGGTATGTAGGTACTTAAAATATTTTTTTCTGATATATACTGCTCAAAATAAGAATACTACATTTGATAGTGGCTAAAAATTAATCTTAGTTTATGCATTCCTCTAAATCCTATTCATAGTTCACTGAATGTTGTTGAGGCAACTGACAATAAATATTACGAAACAGTTAGAAACTGGCTTTTACAGTGACTCATTTTAGAGCAACCTGTTTGTACTGAGAGATTTTATATGGCTCCACAAATCTTTCGAAATATTGTGTTAAGTGCTTTTTTTGGTTTATTTGAAAATAAATAAAAAAATTATTATCCATAAAAGTATTCAATGTAGGTACTTATAGCCAATATTAGGCTTGTTCATTCCACAAAAATCATATAACTTATTTGTTTAATGTCTTGAAATAGGTAGGTAGGTTAGGTTAGGTACCTATTATATATTAGAATAAAAAAAAATGTTCTTATTAGGTATTTTAATATATGATTGTGTATTATTAATATTAATAAGACATTTTCGGTCTTTTTTGTGGTTTTTTGTGGAACATAGATAATTTTCTGACCTTTAAGTTTGATATTAAGTCAGTTAACTTGAATATTAAAACTAACCGCACAAAATTGGATCTACTGAACACAAATTTGCTATATTGTCTATTTCTAAGACAGTGACAAAATATGCGGGTGTGACAACATGGATGTTTTCAAATATTCAAAACAATTCTAATTTGCTTATTAACATACAACTGAGAACAAGTCTTTGTTACTTATAAAGTAATAAATAAGTAGGTACCTACCTAATTGAGTACCTTTTTTTTTTAATCTGTTTATAATTTATATTAACTGAACTTAGTTTAACTGATAATTACTTAAATATATGATTTTATTCTTGTTGAATTCAGTAAACAAATTTAATTTGTTTGTAAAAATCATGATTAATCATTTTTTATTTAAATTGTAGTAATAATTTTACCATTTATACATGAATATTAATTTTATAAATGTATACTTTTTGTAATAACATTAAGCAATTTATTACTCGTTAATCATTTTTATTAGGTACCTAAATAAATTTTAAGCTTAGACTAATTTCTTCATTTGAAATTTAATATATTAATTTTTAATCAAGGCATTATGTTTGTTATATTGAATGAATAAAAAATTGCCATTAAATAGTTATTGAGTCATAATAGTCTGTTATTATTTATTTATTAATCAATTCTTCTAATACATATCACTTATCCCATTTTTATAAGTATTTATATTATACTTGATTTGTTATATATTCATGTTTAAAAATAACAAATCATTAGTATTCACTGTATACATTTCACATTTTAATTATTAACTATTAACATTAACTAAATCTATTTACCCATCATATTTTAAATATATTATCATGTTTCCAACTTTTTATGTAATTATATAATTTTTATCTCAACTTTTATTATCCACCTACAGTTTTTAAATAAATATTTTTTTTTTTCAAAACTTATCTCCTCACAATAAAACATCTTATGATAATCAAAGATAACATTTTTGGTTGAATGAAAAAGTTTTGTATGGTAAAATTTATTTTTTTAAATAAGTTCTTAAAGCACCATAAGAAGATCTGTTTCACATCTATACTTTATACTTTGTAGCCCATATGTAAAATCAGATGAGTCCTTCATTTTATAGCACCGCAATTTTAATTTAATATAAATAACTTTGTAAATAGGTACAAAATGTGTGCGGTTGTAGAACCTTAAAGATTTTTTGCTTGTTTTAATTCTTTGATTTTTCTCATTTGCTCATTTTAAAATCAACATAGATACCCATTTTGAGCATATTAGGATTTTTTTTTAAACAAAGACTATAACTTGTAGAAATAACATGAGACTAAAATAATATTAACTATACAAATGGGTAAGTAGGAATACTATTTTGTTTTTTAGATTCTGATCTGAGAATGTATTGATTTAACAATGATGTTTGTTTTTTTGTCTGTCGTCACTCGTCACCTTTTCCTTTTGGGACTGTAAAAATGCTTCGATTTTCTTTAACACCATTTTTTTTCTGGTAGAAAAGTGAATTTAGTTGGTGTACTTAGGGTAGGGGAGGGGAGAAGTTTCTTATTGATTTCAAAAGCGTCAGGAAAAACAAACAAAAAATTAAAGAAAAACTGAGATTTTTACGCAAAACCGGTTTTTCAAAAAAAAAGATTTTGTTTTGTAGTGTAACTGCGTGCGTAACTTTAGAAAAAATAACCGAAAATATAAATAATAACCTATAAGTTATTACTTAGACTGTATACATTTTGATTTTAATTAATTGTAGGTTGATAAATAATAAGTTTCAATATGTGAGTGTCACATAAGTACTAAACATTGTTGTGCATGTAAAATATCATTTTTTGATTTTGAAGTATAAATATGAACTTATTAGATGAATCAATTTTTTTGTTCTTTAAAATAATTAAAAATGTTCTAATTTGTTATGACATATTTTTATTGTTGCCTCTTCTTTTTAATTTTAACAGTTTGATAGTTTTGCTTTTTAATACTAAAATAAAAACTATGTTAAGTAAATAGGTCTGTAGTAGGTGTACAGAATTTAATCATAAATTAAAAATTAAAAAAAATAATGCCAAGTAATAACATTCAATATTTTGATTATTATTTCTAGTTTTTAAGCACTATTGTTTCAGTAGGTGGTAGAACAGCTTACAGCTTTAACAGCTGTATAACTACAGAAAACTATCTGCCATTTAAGCAGATCCCTACAATTTTCCATGGCCCTGGGGTTGCGTGCTGTATACACTCAACACACCTAGTTTTTGAGGTATTACATAAAAATAATATTGATACATATGATGGGTTCACCATGGTTTTAATTAAAACTCGTTTGTTTTTTTC